TTCTTCATCTACAAACAGTTGCCCTCCTCCAATTAATATGGAACCTGACGTTCGGGGGGTTCATGTTAATTGGTGTGAGGCTAGTTTGTTTTTCTTTCTACACATAAAGAGTCAAAAAGAGAGTCACAAAGAGAGTTCATCCATATGTCACCTTTTTGTCGCTTATCTTTATTTGTCTCCTAACGTATGTTTATCCCTATTTGTCAAGTTGCCCAGGTCCTCCAGCAGAGAGCTTAGAGTAAGGGTGCCCTTTTTTTCTGTAGCCGATTTTAGTAGGGGAACCCTCCCCCAAAGAAGTTGGTAAAAGTTGGCACCTAGCTGGGGGACCTAGTGAAAAAGTTCGTTCTTTCTTCGACACACCGCTGGTAGAAGGGAGGCGCCTGGGCCCGTCATCGGCGCGGAGCTGCATCCCATGGCGAAAAAATGGCGCGGCGGGACCGCTGAGAGCCTCGCGGCGGCGAGGCGGGATCCACCCGCCGAACATCGGGTGACGCCCATCTGGTGACGCCCAAAAGGCCAAAAATGGAATGAGGTCCAACAAACCGCGGGGTTTGCGGGGGGCGGGTCCAACAAACCACCGGGGTTTGGGTGCTTTTCTTTGTTTGAGGGTGATATTTTTGGGGGTGTCTTGGTTTGAGGCTGTTTGATTTTTTGGGGGGGTGGTTTCAAAGGGAGACCTAAAGGGCCTAATAGGAAAACCGAAGCCATTTCTCAGGTAACCCCTATTCGGTGGGTTGGATTGGTGGGGATTTGAATGCGTTGTTCTTGTAGAGGGTAGATGGGAAACCTCTGCTATCCACCAAACCACCAATGCAACCAACAGAATCAATTAGTGGAAACTGAAAGATATCCCCCCAAAGAAAACAACCCAAAATCAAACATGATTAATTACATCCCAAAAGCACAAACGTGGAACCTGAATCAGGGTACGAACTTGCTGTCTTTGAAATGCCTTTCACATTCGATTCTAACGTCAACCGCAGATAAGGGCTCATCAGCAGGTCCTGGTTTAAGGAATCAATTAGAAGTTGGGGGACTCCCAGATTTTGCTTGGAAGGCATTGTCGCAGGGGAGGCAGGCCCATGATTCGAGCTAAACCCGATCCGAGAATGTAGGTTCTATTGTTTGCTTCACTTTGAGAGTCACTGGCTAAACGCGTGAAACTCTGCGGTCGTTCTTTGCGAATCTCCCAGAGCCTCGGAAGTCGGAAAAGTCCGATGGGCTTAAACTTACCCCTTAAAACTCCTTTTGCCCTGGGGAAGTTTTCATCTTAGCCCATGTTACCCAAAAAGTTGAAAAGTTGTGTTTTTAAGAGGTAAGTAAACCTATATCTGCACGCTTCTGTATGCAATTGTATGGTGGCTGCGGAGCTCGATTTGTTGCGCTGCAGCTCCATGTCCAGCCTGTCCAGCCTCAGCCAACCGGCGCCCGGGTAGAGTGACATAAGCCATATCACTGATCTCTGGTCCTGGGTGTCAAGTCAGATTTGGTCTCAAGTCACAAAATCGAAATCTCAAACACAAAATACCTCAATGGTGGTCCGAGTCTGAGGCCAGACTCGCAATTTTCCGCGTTTGTACCCTGTGCTTCCGACCCAAACAAACACCTCCCAGGTGTCCAGATCCCTGTCCAATTGGGTGTTTTGAAGCAGGGCTCCCTGCCTACCTAATACATGTGTATATATATATATATAACCTTATTTGAGCATGTTGGATGGCGACCAACATGGAAGAACACAGCATGACTTGCAACACTTCTAGACAACATTGCTCTTGGCTGCTCTTCAACTAAGCTGCCTGGTTTACAGGAATTGCTTGTCTTGGCATGGGGTGCCCCCAAGAACGCTCCAGGAGATCTAAGGTAACTATTCACGGGCCATGTCTTGGAATGTAGAGTACGACTTGATCAGGCTGAGTCTGGCTGGATCTGACTGAATCTGGCTGAGTCTGGCTGGATCTTAAATCTGGCTGGATCTGGCTGACTCTGGCTGGCTGAATACGGCTTGATCTGGCTCTGGCTGGCTGAATACGGCTTGATCTGGCGTCTTGCTGGATCTTAAATCTGGCTGGATCTGGCTGAATCTGGAAGGCATACGGCTTGATCTGGCTGAGTCTGGCTGGATCTGCATAAAACATGGCCTCATTCTGCTTAATGAACAGGTTGAGCATTTTCCAAGATGGAATTCTTCTGTTCGGAACAGTTCAGACCCCAGCAACGGAGCCGAGCCCTTTCTGTGACTCCGGGCCTTCGAAATTCTCCACGGAGTCGATGCTGCCACTGCTGCTGCTGCTGCCGCTGTTGCTGCTGCGCTCGACCATGATAAGAGAAACAAAGCTTAGACCCCAGAAAAATGTAGCTCCCAGAGTCTCGGCAAAACTCTAGATTTCTTAAGTTCAATGTATGTTTTAGAAATTGCTGAGACAAGCAACAGGGATATCTTATCACACTACATGACCATATCTCAAGTCTAGCCCAGGAACATATAAGTTTATTTTCTTCAGCAGTACCCTTTTGGGTTCAAGTTCGGTTTGGAGGCGGAAAGGACGACCAAACTCCATTTGTGGGGGTCCACAAACAAAAGAGAAGCCACTGTGGCAAATGTGAAGAGATTTGGGTCTAAATGCTAGCTTCCCTGTCATCTAGAAAACGACTTGGATGTTTGTGGATCCACCGCTGGATATTAAAAGAGTATATACCAAAAGATTACACAAAAAGGACCAACCGAGGGAGAACAGGTGAAATCCGCAAACGGCGCATGCAACCCGCCTTCTATATTTCACATCCCTTGAAACCCCCCTTTTTATAGTTGTCCTCCAAAACAGAGACGCATATAACCCCCAGACAATGGCAACCAGTTTCGTTTTGGTGCCCATTTGCCAACCAGTTCAACTTTAAGTGGCATCCGGCGTCACATTACGGTCGGGTCCGCTCTACCTCGCAACACTCGTTGCATGAATCTCAACCTAGGTCGGGGTCCGCTCATGTGGAAGATCCCCTTCTGTGATAATTACCAAAGTGACCGCGTCATCCCCGTAAGTACTTTACAGGGATCCGCTTGGCTTGCAACAAGTGGCAATCTGAACCCCCCCCCCCCAGTTCCTGCAAACATGCCCCCCTATGTGACAAAATAGGGTCCGGGCCCCTTTTATGGTGGTGTTTTGTTGTCCCACAACTAGGGCTTTTCAGATTGAGTGAAGCGGCCGAGGCTCGCTCTAACAGGGACACGGGGTCATGGTTGCAATCTGTCTTTCTCCTCAGCTCGACAAGGAGAAAACTGCTGTCATCTTGGCCCTTGCTCGGCAAGTGCCCTGCTCAGATGAATGGCCAGGAAAAGTCTAGGCTTTGGGGTGTTTACTAAATCAAATGATACAAATATTCCACAAACCATTCATACTTAAAGGGGCATTGTACTTAGTAAGTGGTTAGTAAGCCTGGCTATCCCCATTTGCCATGGCTAAACGTCTCCGAAGCTGGTTGTAATCAGGCTTCACGTACTACTAAGTGCCCTGCCCCTTTAAGTAGCTCGCCAACTAAGCAGATCACTTTGAGCTGGCGTGGCTCCATTCGCGGACACGCGGCAAGAAACATGCAGCTGCACTGCCTCGCCGAGCGAGGAATGCGCGAGAACTGTACACGGAATGCGCGTGCTTCCCGATATGAAAGGGGCCTCGGACATCAAAAGACTGGCAAGGACCCACTTTCGATGATGAAACCCCCCAAGGTAAACAATGCTGGCTATACAGGGATCCGGATGCATTATACACCTGAACATTGAAACTTTTAAATGGTGGTGTCCTTTTATTTTGGTGGAAAAAGCCATGTTTCAACTGGGCAAAATGGAGATCTTTTCAGGAGCCCTGTTATGTAAAACTGGCCACCGAATCCCGTGTCCCTTGCCCAAGCATCCAAGGTCCCCGTCGGGCAACATCTGGAAGACAAAGAGTTGCTCGTAGCTGTCCCATTCTTTCCCGGTGGAAAGAAACAGACGCACGGGTTGTGTACTTTGGTGTTCGGCCAAGTTAGCAAGTTGTTGGTAACCTAGGAAGAAAAAAACGCTTATAAGTCCCCCTGAGTAGAGTTCGAGTTGCTATTGTTGGCCCGGCCTTTTCCACTTACTAACTTGGCGAATCGAACATTCAAGCACCGACCGCTGGCTTTGCCGCAGCCTGATGTAATGCCTGCTGGGAGGTCTCAAACTCATGGACTAAAGGCTAGAAGAGGGGCTGTTGCCTACTGACCCCTATTGGCCCCAAAAGGTCAGATGTTCAGATTCTGTTTCATGTGTCGTCGGCTTAAAGGGGCAGGGTTCTTAGCACGTGGTAAGCAAGCCTGGTTAAACACCCACTTCGACTTATAGCCATGGCTTTTGTGGGTTATAACCATGGTTTTTGTCCCACTTATCTGACGTACCCTGCCCCTTAAAGCGGAAGAGACCTCAGTTCAGGCCCTTCCTTGGCTTGTCCTGGCCAGGGGTCCCTCTCAAGAGCCCGCAGGTCCACAAAAGAAAGCAAAGCGCCGCTGCCGCTTGGAGACGGTTTTTGCGCAGCGCTCGACACCGGGGTGCAGAGACTAGGTCCTCCAGATTTGAGAGGTTAGAATAAGTTGGTAACCCGATTTTTGTTTTATGTAGGCTATTTAGTAGCGGAACCCTTCCCCAAGAAAAGAAACGGTAAAAGTTGGCACCTAGCTGGGGGACCTAGGAGAAAAAGTCTTGGGCGACCTGTTGGGTTCTAACAGGGCTTCTGTCTAGCGATAGCCTGAAGAGCCCGTGTATTCGCCCCCGTTCGGCCCCCGGAACTCAAACTCCGCTAAGGGAGCTCTCGTTGAGAAATGGATTGAGTCTCTGACTCAAAAGCAAGCAAGGGACACAGGTGTGTCTTCTTGAGGGCCATTTTTTCGGTTGAAAAGGAAACCAAAAGGAAAACCAGACATTCTTGGGGTCTAAAGAAAGACACACCCTCACCGCTTGTGGTGCGGCCTGCTTTCGAGAGGGCAGCATGTCACAGCTCGGCTCTGCGAACCATCACCTCATGCTGGAAGCCAGCGTGGTCGGCCTCAGGGTTAGGCTGTTGCGCAAAAGCTTGTAACCAACATTCTGCCTTCAGCTACTTAAAGGGGCACAGTACTTAGTAAGTGAGTAAACCCACTTATCATGGTTATAAGTCTCCTGTGTTATAACCAGGCTTACAGACCACTAAGTTAACTAAGTACCCTGGCTCTTGAAGTAATCAATTGGGCCCCTCTTTCTCAGTAAACCATGACAGGATGTGTGTCAACCACATTTAAGCTGGCCGAAAGGCTTCTGCCCCACACGTGCGTCTGTGTCTCCGACCTGCGAGGGAATCCTATGTTTCCCCTTAAGCTACAGAACTCCACAAAGGGTACCCTCAAAACTTCCATTTGGTTAAGGTCCCAGGAAAAAATAAAAATGCTTCCAGTAGTGATGCATTCCTTCTAACACCAACAGGGGAAAATAAGAACATGTTTTGAGGAAATGGAGAAAAAGAAGACACACCCATGCTTAGATTTTGGCCATAATCTGTCAACCTTCAAATGAAAGATGATGGCAACAAGGGGGTCAACATGTTGGACCCATTTTTGAACCCCGCGGCACAACATATCACCAGGGTCCCAAAGGTCTGTCTACGGCGGGGGAGTCTATAACCTAAGCTTCCCCAAGGCTTCCTACTGCACCCCAGGAACCCAGTGAAAGTTTGCTTTGCCGCCTCCTTTTTGAAAAGAGGCTGTCAAAGTCCGCCAAAAACTAGTGTGTATACCGGGCTGTCCTACTTGATCCCCTGCTGAAAAAGAAAACAAAACACGAAACTTGTGGGTTGAATGGACTAGTCTGGTTGCTAAGTAGAGCTCGTCTTGGAAAAAATGGCAACAATTACACCTCCTCTGTTGGCTTCCCTTCATGGAGGAGAAAAAAAAAAACATGGGCCTCCAGGGTTTGATAGTCGATAGCCAGTTCCCCCGGCTCGCCATCCTGATGGTTGCGAAATCCCTTCGCACCGCTAAAAAAACACATAGGACACCGTAATGGTTGCTATTTACGTTGGGGCATCGAATCATTCCAGAATTTCTCAGCTGGTGCAGGATGGAGTTCGTCCATCCAGAGTAGCTCCATACATTTTGAGACGGCCTGTTGCCGGCTTTTTGCCACCACGTGGGAATTTTGAGACACCACCTCGAAGAGCCAGACGTTTTCCCCACCGCGTGAAGCCAACACTGTCCATCCGAAAACCGCCAGGTTCCCCCCCTTTCTTCGGGCTAAAAGAAAAGAACTGGACATGGGAAAGCTACAGGAGTTTGGGATGGTCATGTCTGCGGCTCCCAGCAGGTTTGCCTCAAAAAACGAGGCTTTTTGAGTGGGACCTACGGTTTTACCGGGCTTTTGGTTCCTCAGATACAAGAAATCTAAAACCTGAAATAAGGATCTCCAGAGGCAACGATCCATGGTGAGCCTTACCCCTGAAATCGCTGGAATTCGCCATGAGCATGATCTGATGAGATTATCTGGGTTACCTACTAATAGGGTCACCCCCGCTGACCTGGTTGGACTTCGCTACACAAGCTGTAACTTAGATTGCAACTAGCTCGTGCGATCTAAGTAGGGTCCTCCGGATTACAAAGCCAACATTGACTTGGAGTCGATGGTACTGTGGATGCTGCCAGTGAAACCCTTCACAAACCATTGCCTTTTTGGTTCTTAGCACTAAGACGTAGAAGCTTTCCATTCTCCCCTAGTTGCAATTTAGAGGGGTTCTCAAAATGGAACCCCTTTTGGTTGGTTCTACAAGCAAACCAACTTTTGCTTCTGACATTGCCCGCACCTTCAACCTACGGCGCTGTACCCCCGGCGAAAGGCTAGGTTTTCCAGATTTGAGAGGTTCAAAGAAGTTGGTACCAACCCTTTTTTTCTGTAGTCTATTTTAGTAGGGGAACCGAATCTCCCAGCCAAAAAAGAAACGGTAAAAGGGCACCTAGCTGGTGGACCTAGCCTTGATTTGGTATGTTTTGGTTTGGATTGTTGGGGGGGGGGCGGGGGCAAAAACTGAAGGTTCAGTCAACCTAAAATGACATCATGTCACCGCCAAAACCGCAAAACCAAAAAACGCCCCGCCTCGATGCACTTCAGCGCGCTGCTCAGGCGCAAGACGTGGCCAGAGTGGGTGGCCTTTATCGGTGGGCCCTGCGGAACGCCGCGGCCAAAGGCGGCCGGCGCGTCCATGGAATGAAAGCTGGGACGCGACGCCTTGGACGGAAACTCTCTATTTTTTTTTTGTGTTTAAAAAAAATGGGAGTTTTGGGACTCTGTTTTTAGGAGTTTTGGGAGTTTTTAAAGAAAGACACCACCGCTTGTTTTGATTTCTTTGGGACTCCGCCGCCCCAAACGACAATGGGTTGGTTGGAGCACCCAACCAGTTGCGGGGGCGCTGCTAGGTCTCTAAGGGGACCAGCCCCCAGTTGCCCTAACCATGGTGATCATCCAAGAATCTAAAGCCGTGGTATATGGGTGTGGGGGGGGCTTCCCTAAAAAGTGAAGCACCCAAATGGGTTGTGCAGTTCTAAGAATGTTTTTCACTACCCGCAAACCACCCCCCTTCAGGGGGTTCATGGGATATAGAACCACTATATAGCCACGAGACAAAGGGAATATTTACAATTTCCCTTTTCATTGGATTTACCTTTTGACCTTGGTTGACTGGCTAGTGGGTCGTTAGCTGGTTGGTCAATGGGTGGTTAGTGGTTGACTGGCATTTAGTGGGTGGTTCGTGCTAGTGTGGAACTCGCTTCCTGAGTGGATTGGCCAAACACGGTCTAAACATTTTGCAACTAAAATGGTCCAGCAAAAAATGACTCAAGCGGGAACCTAAAGACATGTGGATAGCCATTCATCTACCCTTGGTGGTTTGGTGAGGTTGGAGAGCGGTGTCCCATTCACCCAAAATCAAGAACCAGGGGCTCACATCAAACCAATCCGAACCACCAATGAACTCGCTTCCTGAGTGGATTCGCCGAAACAAGTCCAAATGTTTACCACTTCACTGGTCTTCACAAAAAGTTCAAAGTCCAGCAACTCAGGGAGCAAGTCAAGGATTGCCTGATGCAACAATACTGTTCTCCAATTTCAGTGCCAGACCGTCTAACCCTCAAACTCATGTTGGCGATTTCCCATGTTGGGTAGCAACTACCCACCAGGGAAAATCGCCAACATGATTCTGAGCAATGTGGGTACACTGGCTGATAATTAAGTTGGAGTCTAAAGTAAGAATGCTGGCTCGTTGTTTTTGCATTTAGCTTTGAATTGCCCCAATGTTGGAACCGAGGGGTTCTTAAAGTTGGAGAGTGATGTACTCGCTATGCCCTTTCTTTGATACCAAAGCGCCAGGTGTTCATCTGGACACAATTCTGCATTGGGCTGTCCAAACCGATCGCGAAAGGTTCAACCCGTGGCTTAAATGGAGACCCAACCGCTCAACCCCACCTAAGGAACCAGATGCCTGGGGTTGCCAGGTGAAACTCCGATTTGGCTGTGGCTCCAAAAACCGGAAAATTCCAAAATGGCGCAAGCCTTGGTAAGTGGAGGCATGGAAACCAACACCTGCGGTTTGCCCCCCCGATCGTTGAATTTTGAGAACCACACCCATATACTGAGCCACCATTTCTCGACTGGGATCAGCTTCTCCACGAACCGGGGGATTTCGTCGGTCACTTTTGGGGGAACGAATCACGGTACAGGAAGTAGGTCTAAAGCCCCCCATTTTCCACATGCGGTGTGGCTTGACAAGGGGCCGGTTCTGGAAAAAAGTGGGGGAATTCGGGGCTGAAGTTTGCCCCCCTTGGGCCTGGACAAAAGCTTGACCTTTTGGAACCTTCCCAGTCCAACTGGGGGGAGCCCCAAAATTGTGATGCTCTTTTATAAACCTCTCTCTCTCTCGCGTCAGAGGTAAGCTCCTCGCCGCACCCTTCTATAAACCAAGGTGAACAAAACATACATTCTTGAACAGCTCGGATTCCTTGATGAACATCGAGTTCCAGGACCAAGTGACCTCAGAACTTGGGGACAGTCTAGATGTTGTGTCACTAGTCTGCCCTGAAAAAAAAAGCGGATCCATTTTCTGTATAGATCTCCAAGGGAACCACCAACTTGTTTTTGACACACAAAGCATGGCATAGTTCCCTATACCCTCTTTGGCTTACATGGCCTTGCCAAAAGGAAAAATCGCAGGTTCCGTACTGGGATCACTGGGATCCAGTGGGATATAAAATTGACTTGCCTGGACCTGGAAACAGAAGCTGGACCTTTGGGGACCTCGGACCAGACTCGGAATGCCGAAAGGTCCTGCCATGGGCCAAAATCCAAATCGTGAGTGAACATCCCAATCCAACCACTAAAATGGGCTCTAAAATGGGAGAAGTGCCGACTCGCTTTGGGCAAGTGAGAAAAGTCGTGCTCTCCAAATCGCGGCTCCGGGTGCGTTGACTCGATGTGGCCCCCCAGTGCCCCAGTGCACAGAGTACCATGTTCACTCACTTCCATTTGGTTAAGACCCCTGGAAAAAAATATATAAAAAACATTTCCAGTAGCTCAGTAGTGATAAATTCCTTTTAAATTCCAACAAGGGAAAATAAATAAAAAACAATCTGCTTAAGCAAATGAAAGCTCACGATCGCCAAGGCTCTCCAAGGGCCACTTCGTGCTCGGCGCGTAGATAGCCGTCATCCGCCCGTGCCCAGAACGTCGCCCCACCCTCCACCGCGATCGTCCCCGAGTCGGTTGACGACTCCTCGGTCTCCCTTTTGAAGTGGCTCGATCCACAGCCCATGGTAGTGAAACCGAAAAAAATCCGCCGAGAGCTGACTGCTGGGCCAAAATGCCTGTGGGTCAAAGGAAACGCCTGGTGAACATCAAAGGTGGCAAATGGATTTTCATCCACGCCAAAATGGAGCCATAGGTTATGCCCCATGGCCAAGTGGCCAAATGCAGATGGGTTGCCCTTCGGCAAAAGCGCGCAGCAAAAAAGCGCACGCACTGAACAGACGGCGCGGCGATGTGTCGAGACGCATGACTCGACATTCACTGGTGTGGACGAAGGGCTTTTGGGTTCGGCAAGACGAAGGGCACTCTCCAAAGGAACCCAAGGGTGCCATATTTCCCCTGTTAAAGATCACAGCCCTGGGATTCAAACCGTTGAAGTTTCTGGGGGGGTCACATAACCACCATTGACCATTCAGGATTGTCATCAGTGGGCGAACCATTCTCTGAATGGGAATCGGGTGAAACCTAGGGCCTTGTTTCAAGCATCACATGGGCCCATGTTTATGCAGGGAGTGTCTAAACGAGTGAGCGGGGCATGGGGAACCCTGACCCAAACAGAAGGGAAGGGGAGACTCCGTCCGAAAGCAACTTGGCCATAGGATCGAGTGACACACACTGCCACCTGAACCCGCTCAAAAGAGGGTCTTGCTGCCTAGGTTCGAAACCTTGGGGGAAATACACCCGGCTGAGTTGGTATATGGCACAGAATTCCAGTTGGTAAGGGGATGATTACACCACTCGTCAGACTATCCGGAAGCTTCCCCAGAAGGCCTCCGTACATGGGGCACCAAGTTGTTTTCTTTGTTTTACAGGGGTCTGAGAGCATTCCACGGTAGTCTGTGGAATGATTAAACCAAAATGCATTGGAACTGTGGCATCTACTTTCGCCCTCTCCGCAAAGAACAGTCACAACTGGTGGGATCAGTGACGATGGTTGCTCTTGTCGCATGCTTCACCTATCCTTCAACGAAGCGGCAGGTTGCAGTATTCACTCTGATCATGACCCACTTGGTTAAGCCAAATGTAGATTATGACACGATGAAAATCCAATTCTTACCCAACCATAGTTTTGGCGGCAACTGCAGGGGGGTTCTTTTGCAAGAGTGGTGGGTCAAGACGTGCCTTAGCACCCTGTGGCGAACCCCGGGTGAGTGTTGTAGAAACCACCAGGAAACCAACTAGAAGGGGTGTTTGTTTTTCCCCGCACCCAGCGGGATGTCTTTCAAAGCCGGTGCCCGTTTTGGGACGGTCGGGAAAGGAAGCCAACGGTGGTGTTAAGCATTACTTTGCGGGCCATGCAACGTTCCTTAGGCAGGTGTTTCTTGCAGCTTTTGGAGGTTAGCAAAGTAGTGGCAACATGATGGTTCCTGCTTGGTGGGCTGATGCTAAGCAACATGTGGGTATCTTTGCGACGTTTTCATGGGAAGCCAAAAGTGGTCGGAATCCCCACTAAAACCAGGGAAAAGCACCCCCATATTAATAAATAGGTTGGTTTCTTAATCCGGGGTGAGCCCCCTATTTTAAGACACACCCGATTTTTCGGCGACCATGTCGGCAAGGTGTGGGGCACCCTGAACCGACACAAGTCGCAAGAACTCGGTGATCTTTGGATGGAAAAGCTGAACCCATCAGAACATCTTGGGCATCCGGAGTCGGCAAAAGCATCTTCTCGGATTCGGTTTCATATTTAGACCCCCGCGAAGAATCGATGGAGTTCCCTTTTTTCATGGCTTGAAAGGGAAACCAAAAGCACAGCCACCCATTTTGGGGGTCCCCCCCGACAAAAAAAAAAGTTGACACACACACACACACATTCCCCCCAAAAAAAAGATCTCCCCCCAAACAAAAAAAGTTGTCTCACCCACCTCCCAACCCCTGGCCGAAACTTTTTCCGGTGCAAACATTTTCGGCCCCAAGGCCCCTGCCGAGGCCCGGGTGCATGGGCCGCCGCGGGGCCGGAGCCGGGCCTCGCGCAGAGCTTTAAACGGCGAATGATGGTGGGTGAAATGAAGACAAACGGTATCCTCTTTGACAGTGTCAATCATCAGCCAACCCACCATGTCTGCGGCCGTCAAGCAGTGCCTTGGAGTGACCTTTTCCACCTGCAATAGAACTTGCATGCTGGGGTTTCCTGACAAAGCAAACCTTTCGAAAGAAGCAACCGGATGCGTCACAAACGGAAGCAAAGCTTGCCTACAGTAGGATCGCCCTGATCCGATTGTTGGCACTTTAATTTTCCGTTTTGTTCTTGGATGTTCTTTGGTGGCAACTGGAAGCTGTCAAGACCCCGAGTTACAACCGACTGAGTTGTTCCATTTGGTAAAGACCCCTAGGAAAAATTAAAATATGTCCAGTGATAAATTATGTTTAAAACCAACAAGGGAAAATAGAAAAAATATTCATTTCAGCAAATGGAAGATTATGGTGCTGCCTCAGGAGGCGCAGGGATCAAAGACCCTCTCAACTATAAATTGCCTCCCAAGCAAAGTGGTCTTTCCGTGTTCTCTTTGCTTAAAGGAGCGATCGGGAACTTAGTAAGTGGTAAGCCTGGCTATAACCCACAAAAGCCGTGGTTCTAAGTCTCCTTTCCTTGGATTAGGCTTACTAACCACTTACCTGACGTGCCCGATCGCCCCTTAAGTAGGGAATGAGAAATGGAACGAACCCAGGTGTTGGTCCCCGACAAAAGGGAAACCACAAGTGATGGTTTATAGGGGTCATTCCCTGCCCCCCCCCCCAACAAAAAAAAGAAAAAAAGAAGGGAGGGTTATGAGTTTTGGAGACCCTTCCAAGAACCCCAGTTTCTGAGTTTGATATTTGCGAACAACAGTCAACATACCTTCCAGCAATCATAGATGACAGGAGCCTTTGGACAGCTAATTACCCTCCGCTTGGGGAAGTCGCCTCTCCATATTGTTGCCGGGAGAGTACCCTTTTTGGGGTTGGGGCAATGGTTGCAACCAAAGGGACACGTGTGTTGTTGGTTCCAGTTTCCCAACAAAGATGGAAGACCAGGCGCCATTTCAAGAGGTTGCTACTCTTCCAGACCCCTCGGAGCCTTTTGCAAAGAATCCGTTGAGAGCTATAGAGCTTGACCCTCAAAGATCATGGAGGCAAGACCTCACTTGGTGCGTCCCTGACATTCGATTCCTTAGGGTCTAATGGCATAGGTGTCCTTTTTGGAACTTCTACTTTTTAAGCAAAACAACCAAAGGGACACCTATGTTTAGCGGTAGTTTCCACTGAACCACCAAAAGTTGTCGAGTTTTAGCAGAGGAGGCTCTCTTTTGTGGCGGCTACGTGGAAAGGAAACCAACGACGCTCTTTTTGGTGGCCACCTTTTCAATGATTCCATTCCAAACAAAAACCAAACGCGCCAGTACCTGCTGGAACCAAACGCGCCAGTGCCTAGTAGCCTAGCTCGTAAAATCACCTGGGGTCTTCAAAAGAAAAGCTTTTGGAAAAAAAAAAAACGAGCCATGACCTACCTCGTAAATATTACCTGTGTGGGTCCATCCTATCCTTTGCCTACCATATTTAAAATACCCCTAGTGTAAACCCAATGCATGTCTGTATAGCACCGACTTTATTTGAAACATGTACCTAATACACATAATTATTTGTTTAGGACATGTGTGTATTCACGTATTCGTGTGTGCTGTTCAAATCTCTGGCATATACTTGTTCTAGTGGTAGTTAACGTCTAGCAGCTTTCGAAGCATGAACAGGAACTATCCAGCCACTTCTGCTATTCAACACGATGACTTCGTGTATCTACTTTCAAACAAGTACACTATCTGCATAATCAAAAAACTATGCTTGCAAATACCTGAAAGGTATTTTACTTGCAACAACACAACCCGCATGGCGTTGCGACGTCAAACAAAACACCACTGGGAAGGTGCATCTCGTTCTCAGACATGACCACATCCAAAACTGAGATAGGGGTCTCTATTAATTAGTCCAATTGTGAGACGCCCACATGCTGACCCTATATGGCCATGGGTCAAAACCCCGTACCCCCAGTGAACATCCCAATCCCCAATAAAATAGACCAAAATGGGTGGTGCACCTATCCCAAAATGGTACCATTGGTTTTGAACCATGGCCCTCTATCCCCTTAAAAGTTGCCTTAAATGGGCTTTTAGAAAGCCAAGAAAGGAAATAGAGGCCCCCTGTAGCCCCCTCCCCCGTAAGCCACCCCCAGTCCGAAGGCAACCCAGTTCCTAGCGATCGGCCTCGCGCCCGCGGATTGAACCTCGGCGCAAAAGGTTTTGGACGCCCGACGCGGTGTGACTGTTTTGAGGGTACTCTTTTTCTCGCTTCCTGAGTGGATAGGCCAAATGGTTTTAGCTACGTTGTTAGTTATCTTGGTTCAATAGTAGCGCTAATGATTGTCTCGTTGAATTATTGACTAGCTACTAACAAAGAATGAGCTATTTACAGTTTATTGAGCTAAGGTCGTAGCTGTAAAAATAGGCTTTAGTATATTAATGGCCTTTCTACCTCTCTAAAATAAATATAGCCTTTCCAAAAAGTTTCAAGTCCATGAACTCAGGAAGTGAGTTTTGGGGTGGGTGTCGAAGGAAGTTCAAAGGGAAGCCACTCATTCCGAATTGTCCCTCATGTAGAGACACACCCAATGTGTGATGTTTTTCCTTGTCTCGCAAAGGATTTAGCATTCGACCCCTTCATGATTGGAACCCTCGTGCTGGGTGGTTCTACTCTGTTAGTGAGGGCCACATATAAACCCTGACCCGATAGACCCTTTGGCGAACAAAAACACGTACCTTGAGGCGGTCATTAAAATCAGGGGTCAACATGGGCGTGTGTGTGTGTGTGTGTCTTTTTTAGGGGACCCCCCCAACAAGAACAAAACTAAAGAATGGTGGGTGGCCTTTGTTATTGTTTCTTTTCTGGAAAAAGACACCAAACGGGGCTATGCGCCTGCTTTTTGTTTATCCGGGGTTCCGTGAAGAGTACAACTCATGAACCTCCATGAAGATTCGGCATCCCCAAGTCGAACAGCGGATGCTTCAGCCCGAAGACCCCCTTGAGGGTTCAAAGCTGATCGCCTCCCCGTGACTCGTGACCGCCCCAAGTCTATGACCTTAGCCGAGGTCCTCCAGATTTGAGAGCTTAGAAAAAGTGGGTACCAACTTTTTTCCTTTTTCTCTCTTTTAGTAGGGGAACCATCCCAACCAAAGGGGTGAGAAAGGGCACTGGGGGACCTAATAGCAGAAACCATTCAGATTCCGTCTCATATTTTGACCACCCGAACATCATTTTTGAAGGTTCTCGGTAGGGAATGAGGGAATGAACCTGGGGATTCCCTTGAAGGAAACCACAAAAGTCGGATGGTTCAAATCGGGGTCAGACTCAATTTCTTATTCCATACCTCTCGCACCAGCAAGTCAAGCATAGTTCCAACAAAATCAACTGAAACAAAAGCGTGCGCTTTTATCCAGCTCCCTGGTCAGGTTTTTGTTGGAGATTCTGCACTTCCAGTGGATGGCTTTGTCTTTTTAGCGATTTGTTTGAGAGGCTTACTTCCATTTGCTTAAGACCCCTGGAAAAATAAAAAGAAAACACAGTAGTGATAAATTCCTTTTGATACTTCCGTCTGAATCGCACCGGGGCCAGCGCGCCGTCGCCGACGGTCTCTGCACTTTCGGCAGCACGATCCGCAGGACTCCGTCTGTGTACCTGCCGAAAGGGTCGGTGAAGCCTCGACCTGAGTCACTTGCTCAAAACCCGGTATTAAAACGGTCGTACACCCAGAGCCATGCTTCAAGAATTAAGAAGCCAGATATTCGCAGCTATTTATGGTTGGGATTGTCCCTAAGCTTCATCTACCCGGAAATTGATTTGTGGCTCACCTGGGATTCACACGGAGATCAAAAGCTCCGATAAACATCACGCGGCCATTGCGGAACCCCCTAACAAGATGATCAATTCACAACTGACCAATGGGTATTTGGGGGCCTGGGAAGATTGATCAACCCCAAATAATTCGTCGCAGTGGTCTACCCTCAAACAGGGTTGTGGTTGATCACTCGGGGTTTTACCCACCACTTCTGCGATACTTTAGGGAATCTCCCCCGTTATGTGGTGGGTGAGTCTTTGGGAAGCCCTTATGGTTGTATCACAGATTCGTGGATTCCATTTCCCACAGCTGCCCTAAAACAAAACGTAGTTTAGGTGCCTTAAGAGAATTTGCTGCCTCGCGGGTGCGTTTGCCAGGGGATCACCTCGGGCGCCCTTTTTTGGTGGCACGAAGCTTCGATGTTCTCCACGTCAACCTCAGCCAGCGTGTGCGGGACTGCGGGAGGGGCGCCGCTTGGCCGCTTGGAGAGCAAATCTGGAAACACCATGAAACCAGGGTGGGGCAAAATATGGCTTAAACACCACCTTCACAAGAAAATCATCATCATAGCTAATGGTTTAAACATGTTTAAACCAACGGGTAGCCCCACCCTACATGAAACACCAGTGACCGCTTCAGGAAACCGAACGCGCCCAGCTCAGGAAAAACGCCGCCGGCCGAAAGGTCCGCAACGGGAAGCGTGCCCGGCCAAACCCCCAGTGCGCCACCCTACAGCGCCGTTAATTCCAACCTCAACTCCCCACCCCCAACCCCAAACCTCCAACAAAACCCCAACTGCCCCAACCGCCACAAAGCCCCAAACAACACGCGCAATACCCTCAAACCCTCAAACCCCCAAATTCGAACACCCAAACCTCCAAACCCACACTTGCCGAGCACTCGTCATCCTTAAGCATCGAAAACTTCGTAAGCTTGCTGTCGATCCTTGGCTGGTCTCTCTTTCAGCCTCTGCATTGACTGCTGCGGCTACCACCAAACAACACCCACACCCCCAAACCTCCCACACCCAACTCTCATTCTGTCATTTTCCTATAAAACATCACGCCCCCCCCCCAAAAAACAAAATAGAATGGCGGGTGTTCCTTTGGACTTCGCTGAAAACCCCCCCCAAAAAAAAACGGGCACCAACTCCAAGACGAGACCAGCCGCCCGCGCATCGCGCATCCTTTCGGGTCGTTTCGGGGTGTCGGAACCCCCTGGGGCCCCCTCATCGCTGGGCAACTGAAAGGTCTCCGCAAAACGGCCGTACTCGCCCTGCGGGGCGGTTTAGGGCGGCTTAGGGTTTAGGGTTTAGGGTTTAGGGGTTGGGGTTTAGGGCTTATATATTAAAAGAAGAGAGAGAGCACCGCCAGAAAATCAACACATCCTCGAAGGCTCTGAATCACATGCAGCCATCAATGAAGTTCTGAAGCCCTTCGCTTTTGCAGAGTCATCCGCTGGCAAGTTGCCGATCGCGCAAGATAGTTTTCTTAAAGTAGCGAACCCCAAACTGAGTAGGTTTCGTCTTCAACCAACCCCGAAAAGGATACCTCAAAAAAAAGACACACTCATAAATACCCCCAAAGTGTCCCTTGATACCCGTTTGAGGACGTGTGTTCTTCTTGTTTTTGCGGGGTAAGGGGTCAAAGTACCACCAAACAACTCACACGTCAATTGGCCAAGGTGACGTTCAACAACCAAAGGAGAAATATGGGGACCCCAAACCTGGTCGGTTCTCATTTTGGTTTCCTTAAGCCACCAAAGAGGATACCCTCAAAAGACCATCCACCCATATAGAAAACTGTGGTTTCACCCCGGTCCTGTTGACTGCACGGGAAATTGTTCTGAGTTATGAGTCTGACAGTGGATTGAGGAGTGTGGATTGAGGAGTGACAAAAAAAGACGAGAGTGTAACGCTAATGCTTTTAGGAACCGCCCGGAAGTTGTTTCCAAGATATTGTGTTGGGTTGAACTGGGCGGTGGGTGGAAAGAAGCTGGCCAGGAGACTAAAAGCCAGCCGTTTTGTTCATGTTTTCATCCATATGCCTCATTCACAACTAATTGCAAAAAAATACCAGGCATTCATATCCGTCCTTGACCTCGCGATCCTCGCTCTTCAAAGCGAAGAGAGGTCAAGGGCCAGGCCCAATTATAAGCTGAGAAGAACAAAAGGCTGGCGAGATGACATTTGAGCTTAATTAACTTCCATTTGGTTAAGACCCCTGGAAAAAAAATAAAAAAATATTTCCAGTAGTGATAAATTCCTTTTACAACCAACAAGGGAAAATATAACATATTCATTTCAGCAAATGGAAGTTAAGCCATATCGATTAGAAAGGTGTGGGCGGGCATCTGGAGTCTCCCAGTCTCGTCTATAGGTGGGGCCACATGCTCTCTCTTTTCATAGCTCTGAAAAGCATTTGATCCCTCAGTTGAAGCCAGTCACACCTCCTTGGAAGTTTCCTCATGGTTTTGTCTCAAAGAGACCCTTGGGATGGTCGATTCGCCAAGTCAGTAAGCGGAAAATGATGTTTGTGTTATAACCCACTGACAACAAGGTTTACTCCACTGAGGGAGACTTAGCAGGTCATAACTTGGGTTGTCAACAACGTACTAACGTCGCCCAACGTCCGAGCAACCAACGCTCTGGTTTCAGAACCAGGTTTCATTTCGTGTGGCGTAATGGATTTCGTGGTTATTTGGGGGCCTCTGCAGCATCCATGTAATCTGGGATTCAGTTGCCAGTATGAAAACAATGGGGGGTTCATGTAACCACCATTGTTCACCTAAGGATCATCATCCAAATTGGGTCAGCCATTCTTTTGATGAGGGTTGAACCCTGGGGAACCATTTACCAGCTGACTTTTCTCAACAAGCCAGTTACTACTGTGGATGGACGAAAACTTGCACCACTCTGAATCCATGGAAAACCATTGTTGGTTGGTATGTACAGGGGAATCTTCAGAAACCAGGGCTTGAACCATCCACAGTATGAAAAGACCTGCTTGGTCTACACATTGAGAAACTGCCAATTGTAAGTTGCGGGCCTCGTTTTAGACTATGCCCACTTCATAGTTGTCTCCTATCATCATGGCACACGTTTTGTTTATCGTATGTCATGCGTGTTTCTCAACCCCTTTTTTGGCCGGTAAAGGGACGCCCAAAGAAAACGACAAACTTGGTTGCCGGAACGACCCCTCTGCAAAAAGTTGAAGACTTGTGGCTCCAATGCAAAAAATCCCGCATCCTGTTTCAACCAAAACGTGTTTCAGTCCATGATCTATGTACCAAAATTGGGGGGGGGGGCCCCTAAAATGGGTGGTTTTCCAGTTGGTTTCCCTTTAAAATAGAGCAAATGCGGTTCTCCTGTGAGAAACACCCACATGGCCCCTTGGGCCCTTCGCCTGTCCCAGCTCGAGATACGCGTCTGCGGCCACCTGGCAAGGCAAGCGTTCAATCCCCCGATTTCCTTGAGCCTTAAGGGGAAGGGGGTGGGGGGTGCCCAATTCCATTTCTCTAGACTCTAGTCCCTATAAAAGGGAAAATGGAACCACAAATGGAATTCCAGGGGTCACCGGCTCACCCCCAATTTCATGTTTGAGGGGGTGGGGATATCGTTGACCACAGGGACCAAATGTCCACAAAGGAGCCACCAAATCCACTGAGGGGATCTGAAATGGTCTGAATGTCCACCAAGGAACCACAAAATAAAAAATGAAGGGGATCTGAAGGATGAGGTTGGCCAATCTTATGAAGCTGATGTTTTCGTACCCATCCACTAAGGGGATCTGAAGGATGAGCTTGGCCAATCTTATGAAACTGATGTTTTCGTAACCCAAAGGAGCCAATCTTATTGCAAACCTCTGACGGGAACTGACTTTTCTTCGTAGCCCAAAGGATGACGGATTGCCCTTGAACAGACCAGGAAGCGAGTCGGCACATGTTATCTGGGTGAATTATCATATTTCACCAGCCTGAAACTTGCGGTGGTTGGGGGGCCATTCCCCACATAAACCACCATTTGGGGTGAGGTCGTGTGAGGTCGTTATAATTCACCCAAATGTTATTCCAAACAAAATGGCTGTGGCTCAAAAAACCGGTACCAAAATGGAACCCTGGCAAGTGGAAACATGGATCAAAACCTGCGTAACCCCTCCTGTTTAATTTTGGGCCACAGCCAAATAAGTAATCAAAGGGTTCAGAACTTCCATCAAACCGGTCGCTCGGCTTTTTACGAGTCAAATGACTCGACGGAACCGCTCGTGCGGTTCAGAACTACCACACAGAGTTGATCCCATGCGACCCGAGAAAAGTCGGGTCAGGACCCCATCGATCCCGGAAGGCCAAGTAGGGTTTCTCCCAAAGAAAAGTGGTGTTCCTCTACTCGGTTGCTTTCTGCTCCCTAAAAGCTTAACTTTTAGTGGTTTAATGGAAAGCCCATCAGTTGGCAGTTTGGAATACCCTGAATTCCATGCATGGCAGAAACCATACTGCTTGGATCTTTGTTTCGCCAAGTCAGCTAGTTGTAGCCATGGTTCTAACTGGGGTAACTGGGGTCGGTTATTTTTCCATGTTGACCCCGGATTAATAAACCCCTGTTTATTAATGGGTGTCCCCGGCTTTAGTGGGGATTTATCACTCTTGGAGGGGAACACCCCCATATTAATAAACAGGGGTATATTAATCCGAGCTCAACACTGCGATGTTCGATTCGCTAAGTCAGTAAGTGGAAGCCACCTATCAGCTTCGTGGTTGGGATTGGTGGTTTGGTGGTTAACGAGGAGTTTCCTGAACCTAGGGGGAAAAAAAAAAACACCTGGTGAACTCCAGTGAGGCCAATCTTCTTGCCTTGTGGTGTCGGGATTCAGGCAGGCCACCACCAAAATCTTGGGGGGGGGGGGGTTCGTGTAACCAATATGGCTTAACCAAGGAGTGTCATCATCTCAATTGGGACCTGATGCAGGCTTCGTTTCGCTGCCTGTGTACCTACCCTCCCGCCAAAAAAGCTGGCCCGGCGTCTTTTTTGGCATCGAAATGGAAAACCAAGGCACGCTAACCTTTCATGAGGCCTGGGGCAAAGGGGAGGCCTTGGAAAGGCCTGCCCCCACGCATGATGCTTTGGAGGAGCTCTGACTTTGAGCACAAACCAAAGGAACCTCAGATTGAGCTATGAACAACTTTTGAGACATATGGAGATTTGAGATTTTGGGAAGCTGGATACTTTGGTTTATCAAACATCAAATCTTGATTTTGAAGCCAAGCCGCAACTTTCGGAAGCTTCAAGCCGGAGACCCGACTTTGCCTTTCCCGCACGGCAAAACAGGCCGGCCTTGGCATTTGCCAAGCAGCACTTGAAATGAAGAAAGGAAAACGTGGCCAAGTAGATTTCTGAGTTATAATATTTCACGTGGTTGGGGGGCCATTCCCCACATAAACCACCATTTGGGGTGAGGTCGTGTGAGGTCGTTATAATTTACCCAGTAGATTTCTTAGGACCAGGTCCGCTTCACCACCGGCCAACTAGATTTGTGGCCAACTAGATTTCTTCACAGGTGTCCGTCACCATCGCTGGCAACCCATCGAGAAATTGAGAGGGGTTCCCGGCAACAAGAAGGGTCCAAGCCGCTTGCTACGAAGCAATATCCTGAGGTTCCTGACTCGAGCCACCTTTTTCCGAAGCGGATCTCCTCCAAAACCGGGGCGTCTTCCAAAATCGACTCCTCCCCCAAGTTATGTAGGTCCATTCTTCTGAAGCCATGGCCTGGGACCCTTGAAAGGGGAGAGGCGCTTGCTTTACCCATAGACTAGTCATACCAGGGCTTCAGGGATCCGGATGCATTCTACACCTGAACATTGCAACTTGTAAATGGTGTCCAACTTTATTTTGGTGTTGAGAAAGCAATTCATGTTTCAAATGGTTGCAAAATGGAGATCTTTTAAGGAGCCCTGTTCATAGAAGGACGTATACATTCAGCCTTTGAGTCAAGCGCTCCCCCTCAACCCCGCGAGAGATCCGGTCCGTCGCAAGTCCATTCACGTATCTCCCGCAGCCTGAGGGAGGGCCTTCACCATCATCGCGAACTTCTCGGGGGACCGCTGGGCCTCGGACCAACCCGTGCCAAGTGCCGAAATCGCAACACTTGAGACCCTTGTTTGTGGTATTTACAGGGGAGTCATCAGAAACCAGGGTTTCTTTGGGTGGCCACTGTATGAAGTGATATGACCATACTTAAAGGGTACTAAGCCTGGTTATGATCCACTGAGGATACTGATAACCGTGGTAAGTGGGATGTGACCGACATTCTAAGTTCCCTGCCCTAAGTCATATATGTGTACCCTCCATATGGAACCCAGGGACATGTGACTTAAGGAACAAATTTGTCTCGAACCGCAGTGAGATTCACTTGTGGATGCGAGAGTATACATGTTGTATTTCACCTTGAGCCATCCTCCGTCGCGTCGCAGAAAGGAGGGTTTAACTAGGGGGGGTGTCACCTGCAGCCCTGTGACCTGCAGCAGGCGGAAGCCATACGTCTCGCTTGTAGGGCGTGAGTGAGTTGTGTGGGGTGTCGGGTGTGGGGTGTACACAACTTGGTCTCTTGAACCATCGGGGGAGATGCGCAAATGCCTCATACTGATGGACGGAATCCCTTCGCACCATTTTGAAACCATGGTTGAAACCATTGTTGGTTGGTATTTACAGCGGAATCATAATTCTGTGGGTTTATTCTTGTTTCTCAGGTGGTGATGGATTTGGTCCATTCACAGTATGTTCAGATTCTGCTTCATATTCCGTCTTCCCATGAGACCCAACACCGGTTCTTAGAACCTAAGGGGTCTGGGGTTCTGATGGAAGAGATCAAAGAAAGACTCTTTCTGGACGAGGGGTCCGAGCGAAGAGACATTAAACAGAAATGTTTTGCATAAGATGATTGCCATATTTGCCATCGGAATCGATCAAATTGATCAGAAAGTCGGGGGTCCAGAACAAAACGATTTGGCTCCGGCCTTCCTTTCGGCTTCCAATGCCAAAATGTTGCGCCAAAACACGGCCTTCCATAAGATCCCTTCTGAGCACTGGGAGCGCGATCTCAGGCTTTCCGAGCCATTTCCCATTTAAAGGGAACCTCCCAAAGTAAGCAGTTTTTAGTGGAGTAACCGCCGTGTAGCAGGGCAACTTCAGGGAGGTTTCTCCGGGCATGAGGTGATGAAGAGCTGAGACCCCCTTGCCACTTGCCGGATCTTGGCGGCGATCCTGGCCGCCGGGCGAAGGCAAAAGGGGCGATCTGAGACCTTCAAAAGGGGCGACTGGGATGTGTATTCTCGGTTGCTTTCTGCTCCCCTGCTAAAAGTTTAACTTTTAGTGGTTTAGTGGAAAACCCATTAGTTGGCAACAAGTTAAAGTCCTAACAGCCAAGCAAAATGCACCAAAGTATTTGTCTAAGGTTGTTCCCCCTCAAAATGGATCCCCGCCTTTTGGTTGGTGTTAATTGACACCAAAAGGAAAACTGAAGCCATTGCCAAGTCCTTAGTGCAACCAACCTAGTAAGTAGATTACAACCATGGTCACAACTAGAGTAACTGGGGGTGGTCCCCCCTAACTATGGTTATAACTTACTTACCTGACGTTGGCAACGCACATTTGATTGGTGCATTTGTTTTGTGGCTTCCCCTTTTTTGGTGGTTTTTGAGGGATCCCCAAAAGGACAACCGAGATCCATTTTGGGGGGGACCAACCTTATACAAAGTTGCGGGATGAGCAACTCAAAACGACAAACAATATTTGAGAGGTTAGAATAAGTTGGTACCCTTTTGATCTAGTCTATTTTCGTAGGGAACCCGCCCCAAAACAGGGCAAAAGGGCACTACTGGGGGACCTAGATACCTACAATCGACATGGTTACGATTCTCAATTGGGGACCCTTTGGAGAACATTAAAACACATCGGTGAGACACATGTGCACCGACCACTTCCGGGTCGGTGGTTCGCATTCATCCCTCCGCAGAGAACCCCAAGTCTTGGTTTGGACCACTTTCCTGTTGACCAGTGGGTTTGGCAGCCAACGTCCCCGGAGCCCGAAGGCTGTGGTTCTATGCCCAGTCCAAGGGGGTGGTGATCGTAAGCCTGATGAGATCGCCACGTATCAGCCATGGCTTATGAGTTTTGTAAGGGGGAATCTCACCAACCACTTCCTGAGTACCCTAAGCCTTTCAGTAGGTGATCACCGTGGTTATGATCAGGGTAGCTGGGCCCAGGGTTGGTTCCCACTTGGTCATACCCTACCTGAGTCATAGGCTCAAAAACGAGCCTCAAAAACAAGAAGCACATCCAAGAAACACAGAAACAAAGGAACATGTAGACACAGAAACACGCACCTGGTGTGTTTGCCCCCAGCAAAAATCGTTGGAGCTTTGCACAAGTAAGCTTTGGACTGCTTCCCATGTAAAGAACTAAGCAGGCGGATATCCGCAGCCAAATTTATGGGGGAGCAAACATCCGAGTATGACCATGTCTCTTTGGACCGTTTCGGTCGCCCAACGTGCAGCCGTTGTTTGTGTTTTTTTTTGTCGGGAGGGGACATACCGAAAAGACCCCGAAACGACAACATATATATATATATATGTATAATATATCTATATATAAATATAGAGAAAATTATTCAACCCCAAACGGGTGTGTCTTTTTGTTAGCGGACCCAACAATTTACCTCCCCTATCATCGGTTTGGAGCCCGGTGGTTTGGTGGTCTTCCGGGGTTTCCATCTACCCGCTACAAGAACCACAGGCTCCAATCCCCAAACCACCAATCCAAACTACCAATTAGCGGCTACCTGAACAATGGCTTCGGTTTTCCTTTATATAGGTCTCCCTTGAAAACCCCCCCAACTAACTGGGCACCCTCAAACAAAGACAACCCCAAGCCTGTGTTTGTGGGACCTCACCATTTTCCCCTTGTGGTTTATGGGCCCAAAGAACAGGCTGACACGAAAAAGGCGTCCTTTTCAGGACCCAGCAAATTCCCTTGCCGAACCTGCGTTTGGATGTCTTGAAAACACACGCGACGGTCCAATATTTGGAGGGCAACCGCCCCAAGCTTCAAGGGGTAAGGCTATCAGCCCCAGCTGGGTTCACCCTGATGCTTGGAATCAGAAGGTGAGTCCTTCCGATTGCAACAGCGGCGCGCAGGGAACGACCTTCCCGGCTTTGGGAATGAACCCAACGGTCCCCTTAAAGGGAACCACAAGGGATTGAATTTATAAGGGATTGTTTATAGTATAGGGGTCATTCCCTCATTCCCTGAGAACCACACCCCAAAGAAACATACCTGCCAGTGTTCAGGTCCATCTTAGAGCACACGCAAAAAGCGGGGCATCTCTGACCATGGCGGGCATCTCAGATCTCAGTTCGACGGAAGTTGCGCGCCGGCCTCTTGCGCATGGTTGCCGCTTCCTTCGAGGACCTTGCAGGAAACAAGGTGCAATCGCAGAGGCTCCAGAAAGTGATGCTTTGGTCAAGGCTTGCGGTCCTCAAGACAGTACTTGAATGTTGCCAACGTCAGTAGGCTATAACCGTGGTTACAACAAGGGCAATTGGGGTAACCTACGAAAACTGGCTGAACATCCATGTAAAGCTCTGTTTGATTCATTTGGTCTCTGCAAAGTTCAAGGCCCCCTCAAGACGGGTGGGTTCCCAACTTTGTTCTAATTCAAGGGTGAATGCCTGGAGCTCCGCCTTATCAATCAAAATGGGCGACCGTTGAAAATGGGCGGGCGAGCCTGCTATTTGGCTTTCCCTACGGGGTGGTTGATCCAAATGACCATAGGTAACCTTTCCCGAGTGGGAAATACCATCTTCCCAATGGACATTTATGTAAAAGATCAACCTCCAGGCTCAAGAGGGGGTATTTCTCAACATGGGACATTCGGACACGATATGTCCATTTGGAGCACTTGAAGCCACCCCAACGAACACCTGGCCAAACAGCGGTTCTAATCCCCTGGCCATCGACACAGCGACCCCAGCCTCTAAACGGGGCCGGAAAAAAGGGGGGACCACCAAAAAATAAAAATTCACCAGGGGACCTGCTTAGATCCAGAAACATGTTCCATTTAAACACATTTTCTCTCGGGGCGCAACAAATTCCCATGATTCGTGACCCAATTTGGAATGCTGAACATGTGAACCCAAGCATTGGTTTCAATGGTGGTTTGAATCGCAGGGGAGACATGTTCGATTGAATCTGAATGGGCGGTTCCCGTTGCCTGCGATGGCCAATGGAATCACCGGGAGGGACACAACTGGAGGTTCGGCGGACGCATCTGACACCAGCGGACTTCGCGAGGACATCTGCCTCTTTCATGGCGAGCTCTGGGGGACAAAGGAGATGACCATGATGTGGGCCTTTTGCTTTGGCCTGGAACGACCATTTTTGTCAAGTAGGTCTATTCATAGAAATGGTTGTTTCGGAAGCCACAATTTGAACATGGGGGTCCTGCAATTATCTTGCTGGTGCTCAGTAGAGAATGATCCAGGGTGTGGGGAATGAACCTAAAAATCACCTTAAAGGAAAGTGCCAGGGGTTCTTTGTAGGGGGCATTCCCGGCTGAGCACCAGCAGAAAAATAACAATTGCGAATGGAAGGCTCCCGAAGCGCGAAACGTCGTTGGAATCGCCCTCTTGTCATCCCAAAATATTTGCTTTCTGCGGAGAACACCAATACAAAACTTGCCGTTTGCAATATATACGTGGGTTTGTCTCAGAATCAGGGAACACCCAAAGGGGGGTGTCCCCTGTTTTTCGGGGGCACCTCTTTTGAGTGAGTTTAAAGGAAACTCAACAGGAAAACCCAGCATGTTGGGCCTCCCGAAAAACAAAAACAATATTGTGTTGAAGAGGACTTCTTTACCCCACACTTCACAACTGCACAAGCTCCAAAGCGCCATGCATGCAAGCTTCCCTCAGCGCCTTCAGGTGGGACGGAAGAGCAGGCATCCAATATGCATCTAGTAGCTATTCATATCATAAATGGTATCAACACAGAACCAGATATTCCACTCTTACCTGGATGTCCAACCAACTCAGCTAGTCGGTTCTAGCCGTGGCTATAATTAGGATAGCTGGTTGCTCCCCTTACCATGGCTATAACCATTTTACCTGACGTTGGCAACGAACATCCAAGTTTGCTTGTTTCTGAGGAGCCACAGAGAAGGGGATGCCGTTGATGGACGAACTCCATTTCGCACCCAATGATTCGATTCCCCTGCAAATACCAACCAGGGCACCTAGCTCGGGGACCTAGAAGTAAACCCAATGAACAGATTGAACTGGCTGTGCTGCAGTTGTGATCTGACCTCTTTCAAACTTGTCAATGCATCTGACCATAGGCGTCCTTTACGAAAAAAAATGATGGCCCTGGTAGGTGAGTAAACCACCAGGTAATTAAACCAGGGCCATCCATTTTTCGACCAAAACAACCAAAAAGGGCACCTATGCCAACAATGGTTTCCCATGGTTTCAATTTGGTGTGAGACTTCTTCCACAGTATGAATTCTCCCCTTGTCTCCCGATCCCGAGCACGGCCCTTTGGTCTCCAACGGCAGGCGCAGGCCCTCCACCCGCAGAGTCGTGGAAGAGTCCACTAGCTCGAGCTGGCAAGATCGAGAACGACGTCGGAAGGTCAGAAGTGACCTTCCAAACTCGCCCTGGTTGGGGGTTCACTGACTTGCCCGAAGGGCCTAGAAATCAACTTGTTTTGCTCTCCCATCCACAAGCATTGGAATCTCACTGGGGTTCGGGAAGACATGTTGCCTTTAAAATGGACGCCTTTCAATGGGTTCCATAATGTTAGTGGAGGGTACACATATATGGCTTAAAGGGGCGATGGGGTACGTCAGGCAGGTGCGCAATAACCGTAGTTCTCACCCACAAAAGCTATGATTGCAAGTCTCCTAAGTACCCAAAGAGCCTAGAAACAAAAGGTTGGCCCGAAGGGCCTAGAAATCAACTTGGTGCTCAGGGAATGAGACTTGGAACCCCAAAAAATCATCCAACTGGTGGCTTCCCTTTTGGGAATCCCCAGGTTCATTCTCGCATTCCCTGAGCACCAGCAAGCAAAAGGTCAATTTTTTGGGGACCTTTGCGAAAAGTGGACCCCGAAAAGGGAAAGCCAAAAGGTTAAAAGGTCCGTTTGGACAGAGCCCAAAAGCGTCTCCTTCACAGTGCTTCCAGCGGAACTCAAAAAGTAGAGGGGCCCCCTGAAACCAACCCAAACGCCGCTGGACGAAAAAGGCAAAGCCGGTAAAAAGAAACTAGGGACAAATGTTCCGTGGCGAAGATATGGGTACTCCCCTGATGAACAAATGAAGTTCAAAAGGAGTTTCTTCCACAAACGGCGTGTTGATATAAGCTAGATAATCCAAATACGGGCCACATAATTACACGTGATTATCTTATAAACATGACATTTGGGCTGCGGGTTTGCTCTCGAACGTCTTGACCTCCGGCGTGTGCACTCAACATTTGGGCTGTGGGTGTGCTGTTGAACGCGCTGACCGCTGAGGTGTGCGCTTAATATTTGAGCTGCGGGTGTGCTCTTGAACGTACTGACCTCTGGCGTGATGCTTAACATCTTGGTCAACCAAGGTTTCAACTAGACTGCGCAATCTCTGAAGCGTGATGGTCAACCAGGGCCCAGCAATGCTGATTTGGTGGTCGATGTTCCAAGTTACCACTCACCCACAAACCAACAAAAGACCTTGTTTCAAGAAAAGTGGGGACCCCTAAGACTCACCCTAACTCTAGAAAAGGTCGCCAGCTTCCACTTACAACTCATGCAGGGAACGCAAAGCGTCCAGGAAGCGACTCAGAGCACCTCCCATAGCCGAAGCCAGCCATTGCAACATGTCCAGTGGCTTCTGCCGGATAGATGAAAACATAGAGAAAATATAGAGGGAGACACACAACTCTAGAAAACGGCTTGGATGCGCTTTTTGTCGATGTCACCTCTTCCCTCTGTTGGTCCTTTTGTTGGTACTCGTTTCATACTCTTTTGATTATCCTACAGGGTTGGATCCACAGATTCGCCACATCCAAATCGTTTTCTGGAACTACAAGACTCTGAAGACGAGGAAGCAAGAGAGGAAACCATCCCCGGCAAATACACAATTTTTGCTAGCTTCAGTCCATCAGGAAAAGCTAGCCTTCGACGGCCGTGGTTCGCACAATGTGGATCTGTCACTGGCCCAAAAGGCAGTCCCCCCTCCCTCCCTCCCTCCCTCCCTAACCGCTTGACTGCACTTGTTCCAGAAGTTCAGGCCACGTCGAATCTAAACATTTTGTCTCCTGCTGAATTTTTGTGCTTCACGCGGCGATGGTTAGCTTCCTGCATTGCGAGCGAAACACTGAAGGTGGGAGAGAGGAAGCTGGGTCCATGAAAGCAACATCGTCGAAACAAACCCTCTAAATGGTACTCGTGGTTTAAAGTGGTTTCCCGCCCAAAGCAATTCTGAGATGCCCACTTTGAGCCAGGTCAACCTGGACGTAACTCCTTGCACGGGAATCTACGGATTCCCTGCAGAGCCAACGCAGACCTAACGAAGACTATCCATCTCCCCCCCCACCTTTAGGTCGTCCAGGTCGAGCCCTCGGAAAGGACTCGAATGGAGCGGTTTGTCTTTTGAGCGTGCAAGCCAAAAGGACACCAGCCATTTCGCGCGCCATTTTGGGGGTTCCCTTCCCACAAACCCCCCTTTTGAGACAAACCCTTGTGAGTCATATGAGAAACGGTCAATCTTCGTTTGTCGTCCATGTGGTAAAGGGGATGAAATTGGGTACATCCCGCAGTCATTTAAATGGAGTTGCCTCCACGGTGACGTGTAACAGCGAAACGTCCTCCTTTCCGGGGCAAACTGCATGTGTTGGGGCTTCGGACCCGAACGACTTGGCTTCGAGCCCATGTCTAGTGCTGTTTTCTCATTGGAAGACTCATAGAAGCAGAGGCCCCAACAGACAAAATTACTTGAAGTCTGTTGCCATGACGCCCACTAATCCCCTTGTTCCTGCTTTTGGAGGTCTTTGAATCCACTGGATTGTGGGGAGGACATGGACTATCCAAGTTTCCCACAGAAAAGGCAGGGCTGCAAGTTGTCCAATCTCGGGGAACAAAGAAAAATGTCGTAGCTCACATGACATGGCGGGCGAGCGTCTCCATTCAGCAGAGGCAATCCAACGAGAAGCTTGCCATGGCCACCATCGAGCAAGTTGCGCATGACACACTCAAAGCTCGCTCATTGCCCCATCCTGGCCTTCCATTTGGTTAAGACCCCTGGAAAAAGAAACATATTTCCAGTAGTGATCAATTCCTTTTAAAACCAACAAGGGAAAAACATAATAATAATAATAATAATAATAATAATAATAATAATAGTAAACAATTCTTAAGCAAATGGAAGTGGCCAAGGATCGAAAGGAATTTTCAGATACACCCCCAAAGCCTCTGGCAAGCGGATAGAAGTTTTCCGGAAAGCCAAGAGGAGCCCCTGAGCCACACCCAAAAACTGCGATCCGGATCCTCCCTTTAAAAACAGAAACCCACAAGGAAACCGAGCATTTCAGTTTTACACCTTGGGCCCCCAAGCCGCAGGAAACCAAACGGAACCAAAAAGAAAATCCAGGAAAGGACACCCAGCACACTGCCTGGAGCTTCGTGGCCAGGAAAAGGCAAGTGGAAGAACTTGGCCGGTGTTTTTGCAAGGCGAATTTCCCAGGGCCCCCTCTCGGGAGGCTTAGCGGCTTGCTAACTTAGGTCGACAGCTTGCTGGTCGCAAACCCAAGTTCTTTCTGTGAATGAAAGGAACGCCAGAACTTCCATTTGGTTTAGACCCCTGGAAAAATAAAAATATGTGGGTAGTGATAAAATCCGTTTAAAACCAACAAGGGGAAATATGAAAAACAAAACTTAAGCAAATTGAAGAGAAGGAAACCCACAAACAAATCCTGGCTTTTTCTGGAGGTACCCCTTGTTCAGCCACAAGGGATATCTCCGTTGCCTGCTTCCCGGAACCTTTCTCCCGCCCCAAAAGCGTTGCCGCGGGGGGAACCTAAGACGCCGGCCCGGAACAGTGGCGGAGATCACGTAGTTGCTCGGCTCCTTCGGAAAAAAAGTTGAACTGCCATGGGACCCATGGCTCGAGGGGTACCTTCCATGTCCATTCTAAACCCAGGCATCCGAGTCTTTCTGAAAACCGCCCTTGAAACCCTGGGGAAACGGATCCGATTTTTGAAAAGAACGATGCTTGAAAAGAATGGACAAGGAATCAGCCCCGAGCCTCGCTGGTTGGAGGGGGTATAGTGAGTAACAATCAGTTAGCATATGGGACCTGAATAGAGCAGATGGCAAACAGTTCGCGAGTCGGGGTATTGGTGAGGTTTCTGCGAACTGTCCTTTTTGGCGTCAATATGGCTGTAGCTCAAAAAAAACGGAATTCCAAAATGGGTTGCCCTGGCAAGTGGAAACATGGACTTCAAAACCTGCGGTTTGCCCCTCCGATCGGTTAATGTTGAGAACCACACCCATATGGGGTGGTGTCTTTTTTGAGCATCCCTTTTTGGTTGGCTTTAAATGGAATCCAAACGGAATCTCACCATTTTGTTGGGTCCTCGAAAAGAAGACACGATGCGGCGTTGTGCGTCCTTGTTACTCACTAGGCGAAAATTCTCCGAGCTGACGGCGTGGGGGAAAAAAAAAACGCCTTAATTTCCGATGGTCCCCTAGCTTGCAGCTTGCTGGTTGGAGAGGGGAATGAGACTTGGAATGAGTCGACCCCCGAGAGATTCCAAAAACCATCCCCGGCTTGTTCTTCTCAGTTGTTCAGTGACCCTGGGAAAAAAGGGAACCCTTTTTTGGGAAGACCCTTTAAGGGAATCCCCGACTTGGTGTTCATTCCCAAAACCTTGGGTGGGCTGGTACTTTGAGTCTTTGATTCGCCGAGTTAGTACATGGTCAGCCTAAGTCATAACCGGCTTGTAAGTCCATTGCAAGTACCCAAAGTGGGTTAACCCAGGCGACGTTCCAAAACAAAAAGTCACAACTTCATCCCCCAGTCATGGAAAAGAACCTAGATGTTGATCTTGTTTCACCCCCCAATAATTGCCATGAAACAGGTGAATGCATGAACCCCTGTTTCTACCTCTGGTACGAGCCATTTGGAGAGTTGGCTAGCTACTTCAAGGGGCAGGGTACTCAGTAAGTGGTTAGTTTGAAAGCCTGGTTATAACCCACTTAGGAGACTTCCATGGTTGTGACCCACCTACTCAGTACAATGCCTTTTTTTTTGGAGAAACGAACAAACGGGGATACGGAGGGAGCGTGGATGGGGGGATTCCCTTGGCGCCATTTCCCATACCAAACTTAGTCAAGGTGTAGAATCCTCTCGTATCCCTGGTTCCCCCTGTATCCCTGCTAGTTGGTTTCCCTGATTTGGTTGTTAGATACCAAACCCCACATCCTTCCATCAAACCCCACCAAAACAAGGAAACATGGGACCCCCTGCCAGCACCCCCAGTGGATGTCCGGCAAATGCGAATCCAAAATCGCCCCTACTGCCAAGGTCACTTGACAAAGCATTTGATAGCCGTTGTGGCCCACTTCAGGGGCACTCCAAAATACACTGTTTTGACTGTGCTTCATATTCTTTTCTACCCATATATATATATACCATATGAAAGCAACAACAGGATGTATATATATATATATATAGATACACGCATATGTGTAATTGTGTATAATTCTACATCTACATGAATTTATGGAATTCTACATTTGTTTGCTTACGCATTCATTTTGGACGATACCCCAATGGATGTGTTTCTTTTCTGGACATCACCGCATCCATCCTCGCCCGTAACTCGCTCCAAAATTCCCCAGCCTCTCGGGAGTGGAAGCGCAGCGGCAAACGCACCTCTCGCGATTGTTTGGTGAATGTGTCAAGAAAAGTGCCTGGACTTTGGCCACTTTTTGTGTTTGTGTACCATTTTAGTGGCAAACAAACAACTTGCTCGCTTGGTCAATCCACTCAGGAAGTGATGTAAAGGGAGAGTGATGACGACAAAATCATTAAATGAGTCAGGGCCACGTACCAGGAGGGCTCATATCAGCCAGGCAGACAATGTTATGGGGAATCATTCTTGCCTCTGATATGGACCCCTTTGATATGGACCCCGACATGCTCTAAAGAACAAAGCAACTGTCTAACACGTGAAATGCACTTTTGTTTCAAGGATCTCTTGAAATAGGTCTGACAATTCTCGGTTGCTTTTTGCTCCCCTGCTAAAAGTTTAACTTTTAGTGGTTTAGTAGAAAACCCATTAGTTGGCAAAAAGTTAAAGTCCTAAGAGCCAAGCAAAATGCACCAAAGAATTGGTGGTTTCAGACGATAGTTGCTTTGAAGTATTAGAACAAGCCAATGGCTTCGGCGAGAGGAAAAAACAATACGTTTTAGTGGCTCGCCCACTAGGTCCTCCAGTAGAGAGATTAGAATAAGGGCACCCCCTTTTCTGTAGTCTATTTTAGTAAGGGAACCCTCCCCAAAAAAGAAACGGTAAAGGGGCACTGCTGGGGGACCTGGCCCATAAGGTCTTTGCTACTGATGTTCGATTCGCCAAAAAGAGTTCAGCTTCCCTCTACCGGGCTGTCTGTTTTTAGATCCGCTAAAAGTGGAAATCCCCACTGAACCACTAAAATGCTAAAAAGCGAAGGAACCGGATGGCTGGGAACCACCAAGTCGAACTGGTGCTTTGGACGGAGGTGTGAAGGTTGGGAGGTGTCCCATCTACTGTCAACAAGAACCAAAGGTTCAAATCCAAATCCAAACCAACAATAGGGGGTTTACCTGATGGGATATAACCTTCTAATTACTTGGTCAACTCCTCTGAACGGGGGGCGCATAACCGAGTCTTATAACTTTGGTGAGAAACCACTTACTAACTTGGCTGAACACCCAAGTTCCCTGTGAATGAGTACAGGAAAACCAGAAGGAAACCCACGGGATTGTTGTCTTTCTTTGAGGTACCCCTCGTGAAACCAGAAGGGATACACAGTTGCCCAACTGGAAACAAAGGAGATTTTCTTTTGGGGCCAAAAAGGCGAAACCAAAAGGTCACACGGTCGATCTGCGTTGGGCAAGGGTAGTAGGAACAAGGGAAAAGGGCGCCAACATAACAGCGTCCCCAGGTTTGGAAACAGTTTCCCTTGTGAAGTTGGTGCCGGATACTTGGTAAGTGATCCGTAAGCCTGGGTATACCCCACTTAGGAGACTTATAATCATGGCTAGGAGACTTATAATCATGGCTAGGAGACTTATAATCATGGCTAGGAGACTTATACTCATCGCAAGTGGGGAATAACCATGGGTTGTTATCCATTTACCTGACGTACCCGATTGCCCCTGCAAGTAAACCTGGTCCCCGAAAGGCAGGTTCCTTTTTGCAGCCCATGGGTCATTTCGGCAAGGAATCGGCCAACTTTTGGGATCAGGAAGGGAACCGAATTGAGGCTTCCCTCCCCCCGCCAAACCCCCCAACAAAATTGTGGTTGTCCTTTGGTTTCCCTTTAAAACCATCGCTCTGAATCCCTTTGACACATACCCAAATCTGTGCAGAAGGTATTTACCTGGACCCTTATGGGCGGATTTGTGCAACTTGGATGTTCAACCAACTTAGGAAGTAGGTTGTAAGCATGGTTATAAGGGGACCAACCCAGTTGACGTAGTTATAAGCATGGTTATAACCTACTTACTAAACATCTAAGGAGGAATCCTAAGAGTCCTGAGGGCGGCATCCTTTGCCTCAAAAGTCTGCTGCAAAACGGATATATAATGGGAACCCCAGATTCGTAAACCCCCGCTTATTAATAGGGGGAGCCCTGAATTTAGCCCCTAATACTGAGGATGGGCACCACTTTGAAGCCAGTGGTTGAAACCAGTGTTTGTTGGCATTTGCAGGGGAATCGAATCATTCCAGGGTGTCTTAGGTGGTGCAGGATTCTGTCCACCCACAGTAGGACGGGTTGATTAACCCGGGGTCAGGGAAAACTTAAGCCACCCTCGTTGGTCGTCTATCACTTGCTCGTCCAACTAAGCTCCTTTGCTCCGCCCTCTAAATCACTTTAGTAATGCTAACCCAGCGAAAGGTCCTCTAAACCAAAATGATGGAACTGCTGCTCCCTTGCTCGGCCTAAACCAAAATGACGGAGTTGTGCCATCGTGCAATGCACCAACTACAACCCGGTTTACTAATAGGGGGTGGTTTGGGCCCCTCCAAAAGTGGTCTGATTCTCCACATTTCACCGCCAACAACCCTTGGTATACAAAATTATAAAACAAACAGAACCAAAAAACTGTAGAAAAAAAATGCTCCAAGAACAGCGAAGGAAAGCGTGGTTGGTTTTGGAAGGGCCAAAACCCCCCCCCCTACGAATAACTGGGGTTGATTAACATGGTGTCAACATTACCTTCCAGAAAAAAGCACTCACAAGGCGGGTCCCTGTTCAAGCCGCATCAAACGATTGCCAACGATCCAATTTGGATGACGCATCTGGGGTCACCATTCCAACGATCCAATTTGGATGACGCATCTGGGGTCACCATTCCCTAAGCGACTTGTTTTTTGCAGCCCCTATTTAACATGAGCAGACCCTAAAAACAACTAAAACAACAAAAAACAACTTGCCAAGAACCGCCAGCATTTTACCAAAGCAAAGGCCCCAAGGCTTCAACTCGCTCGCGCGCACCTGCTGCCAGACCTCTTTCCCCGGCGCCGGCGGCTCCAACGCCGAGGCCGCCGCCTCCTTGCCCTCGACGGCTCGACGCAGCGAAGCGGATGGCGAAGCTGTCCCCAAAAGCTTCCATTTGGCTTTTGGACCCCGGGAAAAAACCGAACATATGCGAAGTGATAAATTCCTTTTCAAGCCAAGGGAAAATAAGACATATTCATTTCGGCAAACGGAAGAAGACCAAAAGTTCCGAATTTTGTAGGCTCAAGTAGACACAATGAACAGAATGTGTCCCTTGGCGTCAAAGCAAAGCAGGTTTTCTAGAAGGATGCCTGGAAAGAACAAGGAAGCTACTGTGGATGGACGAAAGTCTGCACCACCATTCAGAAAGCATTCGATTCCCCTGCAGGTACCAAACAAACAATGGTTTCAACCATGGTTTCAAAGGGGTGCAAGATTTCGTCCACCCACAGTATGTTCCCCAAAAAATCAAAAAATAGAAGTCACCTATGGTGTTGTGGCTGTTCGATGTGCGTTCTTGTTTCTTTGTTGTCGCTTTTTTTTCCTTTCCCGGATGGTTGGCTTCCTTGTCATACGTTGCGCTGGCCACTGCAATTAGTTCATGGGGACTTCCGTCGCTTGTTGTGTCCAACAAAAACTGAAGAAAGGTTGAGCCAAGGAGCAAGCAAGTGAGTCATGCTGAAAACCTGAGTGTTCCCTCGCGTTCCTGAGGGCCCCAACCTTCATCTACCTGAATCGTTTTGAGGACGTGGCTCGAACACTTTTTGTCATGTCCTGCGATCCGGGATCGCAAAGTGCGTGAGGCAAGCGCCAAGCGTGGCGTCAAAAGGCCAAAGGTCTCCCTAGGACTCGGGCAGGCCGCCATGAAAAGTTGTTCTTCCATGTGCTGAAGACCCCTGGAAAAAAATGTAAAAAAAATGTCCCAGTAGTGATAAATTCCTTTTAAAAGCATGGAACATAAAAGATATTCTTAAGCAAATGGAAGTGTTCGGGCGTCCAAATAACAGCAATTGTTTGGCGTTCAGGATTGTCATCATGAAAGTTGGGCCTTTGCCATCGTTTTAATGGGGGTTGAACCCTGTGATTATTCTCGGTCACTTGGCCTCTTTCCGTCGTTGAGGAATTAATGGGGGTCTTCTGACCAGCCCGTCACCCGTCCGCTGGCAAGACAGGTGTTTTCGGCAACAAATCAGTTCTGCGCGGCCTCTGCAAACCGGTCAAGTCGATTTTTAGCGCATCCCCGCAAAACCGACTGACCATCTCCACTCTTGGTATGGGCTGGCAAAAAGCTGACTGGTTTTTGCAGACCCCCAGTAAAAATGAACAGAACCAAAAACCTAAAAAAACAAAAAACCTGATCCAAGAACAGCGAGGTAACCACTTCCCAAGGACGACTCCAGCGCCTCTTTGGCCCGCCGTCTCGCCGAGGCTAAAGCCTCTGCACTCGATCGAGCCCTTCTGGGTGGCTCGTCTTAGGTGCTGACCTTTGTGGGTACGATTCTTTTTAACGGGAACCAAGGGGAAAACCACGATTTTGGGGGGTCCGCAGAAAAAAGATGGACCCTTCCAGAAATCTTCACAGGGATTTGTGACATATCCCGCTATAAAAGTGTGAAACAAAAAGCAAGGGATCATCGAACCGCGAACTGACATTAGTTTGCACTTTGAGGCTCACTCAAAACGACCGGAATCAAATTCAAGCATATCATGTCGGCTCGGGGCAAAAGTTGTGAGGTGCCCCACTGACTCTACAGCTATTGCTGTTCCTGCGCTTTTGCAATACGCTTGTGCTTGTTTCTGCCTGATTTTCATACATATGCCGCAGGACAACCGATAATTTTAGAAAGTCTAACTTCCATCTGCTTAAGGGAAGACATGAACATATTTCCATTGGTCAGTGGTCTACTTTGGGGGGTTCCTCTAACTAGTAGGGTCCTCCGGATGAATCCGAAGCTAACATTAAATACCCCCGGTTCAACCCCCATTAAAAGAATGGCAAGGACCCAATTTAGATGATGACAATCCTGAACGATGAAATGTGAACCCAAATGGTTGGTGGTGCCAAGCCGACTTTGTTCATCAGCATGTCCCCTGTAAGCATCACCTGATCACTCATGCCTGAAGCTTGGAACACAAAGACCTTCAAACACTGAGAACCAAATACCGGGCGATACTTCTACTGCCCAAACCAAAAGCCCCAAATCGCGGCTCAACCGCGCGGAGTTCAACCGCGCCTCCTCTGGAGCCTCAGGGGGCGCAGCAGCTTCTGCGGCTGCCTCATAAGCAAAGGGCTCACGTTCTGCGCATGTCGGACGCAAAATCTGTCCAGGGCCCAGCCTGGCCGCTTCTGTTCAGGATGTTCACATGCTACTGACAACTCTTTTCTGGGCTGCCCTCAGATCCACCGCTAAAAGTTTAACTTTTAGCGGGTTAAATGGAAACTACCACTAAACACTAAAAGGATAAACAGCTCAGGAACCGGATGGCTGGGAGCCACCAAGTTAACGTAACCTCGCCAATGCGCAGCACAATGCACACGGTTGATGTGACATGTTGCGCTACGTCCGTAGTGCTGCGCCTTCTGACATGCAGCTGCTCACAGATCAAGATGTGCAACCTGCGGGGTAAAGTTGTCATCACGTGCACCAACCATACCCCACCTCCACCCCCACCCACCTACCCACCCACCCACCCGTAAAAGTTGCCCGACATGAGTAAGCTGGTGGTGAAGTTGTCAGTATGCGCCCCCCAAGAGTCAACAGTCCGCCTCAGAAGCAGCGTGGTTATCTTCCTTCCAGTATCTTCCAGTTAAGAGCAAGTAAACTATACACAGTGTCACTCAATAGAATATATGCAAGCAAAAATACAAATGTGAAATCACGGTTTCCCTCAGGCTGTCAATCATTTGTTACTTCCATGGGCCCAAGCCGTTTGCTGATTTACCTTCTATTTCGAGCAGGTCAAGTAGAACAGCGAAACTGCCCAAAGTGAGAGAAACTTCGAGCATTTGTTGCATAACTGTGAGAACAATTTGTTGCATAATTGCATTTGATTCTCACTTTATTCAAAGCAGGTCAAGTAAAATGAAAACTGCTCTTTTCTGACTAGAATCACTTTTCATTTTACTTGCTCTATGAGACGAAAAAAGGCTAGGTTCAACAAAGCAACTCCACATTAGGATCAGCATCAGCAACACTGAGCCAACCCTGAACAGACATTGAACTAACGCTATGACTCGACTGAAGCAAACGTGCCACCAAGAACTCCTGTACTCGGACTGGGAACACAAAAGCGCACCAATACACGTGCGCAAGCGCTCAGCCAAGTTGGCATGTTGTGAAGCGATTGCCTCTGCCTGCGCAGAGCATTGACTCGCCCCTTGAGCTCCAACAGCATGGGAGAGCCGCAAATCGGATCACAACCAAGTTTAGCCAATCCTTGGGGGCCGGGGCTCGATTGCGGGCACGCGCAGCACTTTGGACAGGTTCGCAGGTGCAGTACTTTGTGCATGCTGGCCTGCGTGGCCGGCACCTGACTTTGTACGCGCTGGCGTGGCTACGGACTTTTGCTTACTCAACTTACACTCACTAAGTTACACACTCAATCTCAATCACTTGACTTGCACTCACTGTCTTGCGCAGAAGCTGCCATTGTTCCATGTTGCCGTAGTCAACAAGTGTTTTGTAACTTTCTTGTTGCCTGGGGCTTGCCAAAATAACCACCCACACATTTAATACCTTCGCACAAGTGCGACTCACTCAGCTTTCATTCACTTTCTTAGATGTTCCACCAACATCAGGTAAGTAGGTTACAACCGTGTTTGCTGGGGTAGCTGGGCTTGGCCCCCTCACCACGGTTGTGGCCCACTTGCTAAGTTGACCCAAGTATTGCCCTCTCTCCCAGATTGCCATGGGACCTCCCAGGCAAATGGCTGGTTATGACCTACTAAGGCCTCCAGTAGAGAGGGAACCCTCCCCCAAAAAAAGGGTAAAAGGGCACTACTGGGGGACCTAGCCTACTTACCTGACGTTGGCAACCAGACGAAACCACTGGCCTTCTCTGCTGCCGCCTCTTGCGCTCTCTTCTCCTACGTGAGCGTGAGGTTGGAGTTTTGGGACTTGGCAGCTGGTGGCTGGTTTAACGGGAAACGGAAAGGACAGCGTATGTGTGTGTGTGTGTCTGTGTGTGTGTGTGCGTCTCTGTTAGTGTTGGTAGAAGCTGAGTGTGGATGTTGCTTTCTTGGGAGTTTAAAGGGACAAACCGAAAGGAAGAATTCGGAGGGCTCCACATCCATGTCTTTTGGGACCCATTCACCAAGTAGGAGCAGGCTTTGGAGGGCACCCTCACCGGAGCTCAACAAACCACTTGATAGCCGTTAGGGCCGTTAGGGGGGAGGTGGGTGGGGGGGGTGGGGGTGGGGGTTGGGTGGGGGGGTTCGGTGGGGTGGGGGGGTTCGGTGGGGTGGGGGGGTTCGGTGGGGTGGGGGTTGGGTGGGGGGTTCGGTGGGGTGGGGGTTGGGTGGGGGGTTCGGTGGGGTGGGGGGTTGGCTTGGGTTGGGTTGGGTTGGGTTGGGTTGGGTTGGGTTGGGTTGGGTTGGGTTGGGTTGGGTGGGGTTGGGTGGGGGGCGGGGTCCTGATTGCATAGAAGTCTAAGTGGTTGGGGTCGAGCACGTGGGATCCACCGGTTCGATCGCGGTCAAAACTTGGCATCTGCGTGATGTGCTGGCGGGTCAGGGGCCCAAAATAATACCCTCGAACAGAGACCACCCCAAATCCCTTTTCGGGTGTTGCTTTTTAAACAACGGTGGCTCGAAGCTTCTTGCAACTTCCATGTGGGTAAGACCCCTGGAAAAAGTAAAAAGTATTCTCAGTCTCAGTAGTGATAAATTCCGGTTAAAACCAACAAGGGAAAATAACAACATATTCTTAAGCAAATGGAAGGCGAGAGCGGCTCTAGCCGGCGGAAAGTTCCACTTCTCAGGGGGGGCATGGTCGGGAAGGATCGCGCGAGGCTGGGGATAAAGCGCTGTTTTTTATGGTTTTTTGTTTGAACCCATGGTCATGTTGGACCCCCCAACGGAAGCGAATTGCCCATAATTAAGACGTAACGAAAGGTTAGCTAACCGATAAACTAGGGAATCACAAAAGGGGTTCATACGTGGACGTTTACATTCAGCCTTTGGTTATCCTTGGGTTGGGACTGGCGGGACGGCCGCTTTGTCTGTGAGCCTGTCAACATCTTTCAGAACTAGTTGTATAAAATTCACGGGAACCGCTCGTACAAGTGGTCCTAAAATGGCCAAAAGAAGGCAATCGATCTGGCTCTGTCATTTGCCTGAGCTGCCACTAAATGGGGAAACAGTCCCAAAACCAATGGGGCAAAAGGCACAAGCAAGTGAAGGGGAGAACACTAGGAACTCCAACAAAATGCGTAGCCTTCCATGGGCCTTTCCACTAAGCATCAGCCAACCAGGGATCTAAGATAAGAACCGAAACGCCTGTCCGATAGGAACCACCCCTGAACCACAGCCACACCAGCATTCGATGCGACCCCACGGTTTGCGTGGCTGCCAGCCTGTGCCAAAAGTTCAGCTAAAGCATGTGTGTGTGTGTGTTTCCAAGAAACTCCTCACACCGATGATTGAAACAAAAACAACATGGAATAAAAGACGAGTCGCGATGTGCGGCTTGGGCAAAGACGTCGAGCTCATTGGTTGCCTTCGAAGTTGTTTCGCAAAACACCCTCAAACGCAGGTAGTCGTCACCCATTGGTTCAATCAATTCAAGTGAATCTTCAAAGGGCTTTGCCTTTGTTCAGGCATGAGACTCGTCAAATCCAAGCGTGACCCGGTGGCATCGACTTGCGAAGATCAACATCTGTCTGTCATGGCCCATCTTCGCCCGCGAATTCTAACCTCAACCATCTATTTTGCACGGCACGGCAAGAACTGTGAAACTTGGCCAGTACATGGTAACTGGGTAATAACCGTGGTTCCAATTCACAGAAGCCATGGTTATAAGTCTCCGTTCAGTGGGTTACAACCAGTTACTAACCACTTACTAAGTACCCAAGTTTCCTAAGTGGGTGATAGCCAGGCTTCTCGCCCCTTTAGTAGAATGCACCTGAACCCTCAGAATTCCAACGAAAAAACGGGTTGCAGCCCCAAATTCCGGGGTCAACTACCAAAACATCTTCTGGGTAGCCCCAAACTTACCCTTTTTGATGGGTAGATTCTCTTACCCCTTAAAACTCCAAGCCCTGGGGAAGTTAATCTTTTACAGACATATAGCCCATGTTACCCAAAAAGTTGAAAAGTTGTGTTTTTAAGAGGTAAGTTCTTCTTTAGTCCAGGAACCCTCCCACCACCCCATCGCATCCCTTCAAACCCCCCCGAAATCCCGGCCCCCTTTTCCGCCGCCTCCTCGGCCTTGCGGGCGCGCTCCTTCGCCACCATCGAGCGCCGCGGGTTTTTCGCGGGCGGATTTTGGCCGGGTTTTCTGGGCTGCGGCCAGAGCAGGGCATATCCAGAGATGGACAATTCATATGAAATTCGATGGACAAGACTGGGGCAATGGATGGGAAATGAAGGAAGGGGTGGGCGGCCAGAGCAACGTATTTCAGATCCGCGAAGAGTCGAGAACTTGTGGGTGAGATTCGTTGAAGTCTACTTCAAAAAACCAACCAAAAAGATCAAGCAGAGCTCAGGCACCGCATGGCTGGGAGGCACCAAGGCTAGTGACTGGGTCTGTTTTTTTTTGGTTGGTTGGTACTTAACCTCTCTACTCTTGGTATGGTAGCAAAAAACTGACTGTTTTTTGCAGACCCCCAGTAAAAATGAACAGAACCAACAAACTAAAAAACCGAAAAACATGCCAAGAACAGCGAAGTTAAAGGAGGCGATGGATTCGGTACGTCAGATCAGTGGTTGGCAAGCCTAGTTGAAAAAAACCCACGGAACGGAGACTGTTTTAAGCACGGCTTTTGTGGGTTGTAACCAGGCTTACTCACTTACTAAGTACAATGCCCCTTTAAGTACCTGTCTTTTGGTAGTTTTAACGGGAAGCCGAAAGGAAAACAAACATTTCTCACTTCCTGAGTGGAATGGCCAAAAAATGTCCGAACTCTGTATCCACAAAAAAAGGTCTTCCCAAAAAGCTAAAGCCCAGGAACTCAAAAAGTGAGATTTTGGGGGGAACCTGAAAAGAGTAGACCATGGGTCTGCAGACCAGGAAATCTCCAATGGAGAGCCTCGACCCAAGCGAGATTGGGTGAGCAATCCGTGCTGTTTGGCATAATGGAACACCACTCCAAGTTCAGGCGCCTCAAGTAGGACAGAAACAGAGTCGTCTCCAATACACTCACGAAGCATTGCTGGCCACTGTTGCTGGAAAGTCTTGCTCGTGGCCCACGCCCAACTTTTTGGGAAGCTGATTGCAATTCTTGCACTACGACAGATTTCCAGGACTGAAGCCAGTGCGGCTTTGTTCGCATCCATGGAGGGGGCGTACCAGCCCCAGTTGTCATAGTATGTAGTTGGTTCTGCGCCTGCTGTGACGAGGTATGCAGCGCCGTGGTAGCCTTTCGGATCGTTGGCGTCGATCCTGCAAATCCACATATGTCTCAAAAGCTTTGAACCCACTCCAAAGCGAGGTATACGGTATCCCAAAAAAGAGGCACCCACGAACCACACCAAGCTGGCTTGCTTTTGGAGTCATCTCCGTTTGAGGAATCCCTCCTCTTTGGGGTTCCAGGTGCAAGGGAAAGCCACAGCCAAACAGCAGTCCCCAATGCTACCTTCTTTGTTTGTCCACCAACTCCCCCCCCCCCTGCTTTGAGAGGAAAGAAGTATCTTCCAGGAACCTTGAGCTTGATTCCATGTTAGTGGATGGAAGGGTAACCAGTTGCGTAACCTGTTCGGAGTTTGAAAGGGGGGGACCACTTCTTTTAGCGTTAATCCCATTTAGTGCGTCCCCTCAAACACCGGTTGTTCCGAACAGTATTTCGGCTCCAACTCGACCGGAGCTATGCAAAATGGTGGGTGCCCACATACAAGCACACCCACCAAACGAACCGCCCGCATGAAGCCATGGCTAAACCACGGTACACTAGAGGATCTGCTTCCTTGTCCAGACTGGATATGCCCTTCACAAGTTGCATTTCACTGGCGGTTTTCATTGGAATCGCCACTTCTAGGTCCTCCAGTAGAGAGGTTAGGGTGCCCTTTTTCTCTGTAGTCTATTTTACTAGGGGAAGCCAACATCGGACCCAGGTGGTGGCAACCCCGATACAAACACAGACCAAGCTCCAAAACCTGCGTTTTCAGCAAGGTGATCTTTAAACCACCAGAAAATGGGCATGTGGGGTTGTGTTTGACACTAGAGAATTTCCTTTTTGACTTTTTGGGACGGTTCTGAAGGAAACCACAAGGAAACTGATCCTTAGTCAGAAACACACACACACACACATACAACGTGGAACCCGGCAAAATGGGAGCACCAGCAAGAAAAATATTACAACAGGTTTTTCGGAAGAGCACTTCTTTGTGGGGGGGGTTAAGAACAACCAGCAGGGAATTACAAAAGCAAACATGAAACCAGAAAGGGACCCTGTAGAAAACAGATTTCCTGCGACAGGAACCCATGGTACCCATCCTCCCACCAACATTGCACCTGTGGGAGGGTACCTGCAAGATGAATCTATATCCTTTTGCAGGAAGCCCGTGTCAAGTGCCATGGCAACGTGGGAACCTAAAATCACCCCCTAAAATTTCCGAAAACCAATTTTCCTGCAGCAGGGACCCTGCAAGTTCCATGTTTGCTTTTTTTTTGCTGGTGCTCAGGACAAAAAAAAAGGAATGAACCGGAAGGGGATTCCCAAATTGAGGAAACCACCAGTTGGATGGTTTATAGGGTTCATTCCAATTCTTGTTGAGCACCAGCAAGTTTTGTTGGCTAAATGCAACACAGAGACTCAACATGTATGATGTCCAAGCTATGCCCTACCTCATGGGGCTGGGATGAGGGCTGGGGGGGGGGAAGGGGAGGGGCAGGGAGCCCAATTAAGCCCGCATAATAAGCCCCTAATCAGGCCTTATTTGGGGCTTATTGAGGCTCCCTCCCCCCCCCCCTCCCTCCCCCCCAGCCCCCCAGTGGGAGGAAGGGCCCTGGTTGGGTTCACTGACTTGCCCGAAGGGAAGTTCGAGTTTCTGCGTGCTCAACCAGAATGAACTTTTAATTCCCATTGTTCAACCAGAGCACCAGCAAGCTTCGAGGGCAAATCCTTCATTTTGTTTATTTTTTTTCAACGGGGGTTCTTTTCATTTGTAGGGGGCTGCACAAAAAAGGCTGTTGGCTAGCCCAGCCCCCAGTGGGAGGGGCAAAAGAAAGACACGGCTTGCGCCGCCGTCTCCTCCGCTTGCTTCTTCTCATCCGCCTTCTTCAGCTTCCCCTGGCCCGCCCGAAGGTCTGGCACAGGGCTTTGGTTGGAAGCCCCGAACCCTCAAACCATCCCTGACATAGGTGTCCTTCTTAGGGAAAATCGATGGCCCTGGTGGTTGATTGAAAACCAAAAAGGACACCTATGATCCGTGAACTTATCCTAACCCAACCGTAAACCCACATTAAACTGATAAAGACTCCCCTGGTGGTTGATTGAACCAGGTAAACCAGGAATCGCCCACCTATTTTCTCGACCAAATCAACCAAAAAGGACACCTATGATGCCTGAACTTATCCTAAACCGACCCTAAACCCACATTAAACTGATAAAGGCTCCCTAAACCAACTGTGAACCATCCCTAAACCTACCCTAAACCATTCCTGAACCATCGCGAAACCGACACCCTGAACCATCCCTAAACCAACCCTAAACAGGCACGATCCCTAAACCATCCCTAAACTAACCCTAAACCATCCCTAAACCAGCCAAAGGAAAATCACCATTGCGGGGGGGTCCAAATCCTAAAGGCAACTGGGCTGCCTTCAGATCCCCCGCAAGTGACTAACTTTTAGTGGGTCAATAGAAACGATCACTAACCACTACAAGGATCTAAAAACGTTGGGAGTCACCAAGGCAATGTGGCTGTGGCTCAAAATTCAAGAGCTAGGGTTACGCTGGTCCATGTTTCCACTTACCAGGGTTCCATTTTGGTACCGGTTTTTTGAGCCATATCCATGTTCAATACCCTCTGTTCAGCAACCCTGGAAGTGGACAAAGGGCTTCCCAGGAAAGCAGTTGTCCAAAACCCGTCTGTCAGCTTCCAGGATCGCTGGAGGGAGGGATAGAATCGGTCTCCAAATTTGAGGATACAGGCTACGTGTTTTGGGGTGTTCTGTTGGTTCCCGAAAATGGCAAGTTGGTGTCGTTGTTTGTTTCCCTCCAACCAAACGGAGGTTGGAATCCGAAGGGAACCATCAACGGACATGAATATGTTCTGCAACGGCCAACTATGCTTGAGGAGCCTCCTTACCTTGGGATTCAGGCAGTTTCCACCATTAAAAGAATGGTTGGGTTCATATTTCACCACCATTTGTTACCCTTCAGGATTGTCATCATCTGAATTGGGTCCTTGCCATTCGTCTACTGGGGGTTAAACCCTAGGGAATATTTCCATGTCATAGCTCAATCGATCGGCATTTGTTTTGTGTATCGCCAACAAAAAGGGGTCCGCGTTTGGCTTGGTCACTCAGCGCTCCCCATAGCCTGCGCATTCCCTGTGCAATCGTGTCTTGAAATCTAAAGGTACATCTCAAGTTACATCTGGGTTGCCCTCAAATCCCCGCTAAAAGTTTAAGTTTTAGTGTGTAAAATGGACACTACCACTAAACACTAAAAGGTCAGATCCAATATTCCATCTACCTAAATGGTAGGTAACCCAGGGAACCAACCTGTAAAATCCAAATGGAAAATGGCAGAAAAAGTTGGTTTCCAAGCAAAGAGCAACAGGCCTCTGTTTGACCCCGACATGAGTAGACGTTTGGGTGTGTCTTCCTTTTGGACACCCCAACATATCTCGGTTGCTTTCTGCTCCCCTGCTAAAAGTTTAATTTTTAGTGGTGGCAAAAAGCTTAAGTCCTAACATCCAAGCAAAATGCACCAAAGATATGGTGGCGTTCCTCGTGGAAAAAACAGCCGCGGCGTCGTGCGGCGTCGCACCTCCAGCTGCCTATGCAGCATGGCCAGCCGCGACTTGGCTGTGTCCACGTCCTACACGCGAACGTCGGCAAGCTCGATTTGGATCGCCAAATGGAACGGGGAGGCTGTGGATGAATCAAATGGTGGTTTATGGCGGCTTTTATTACAATGTTCAAAGGTTTCATTGCCATGGGTGGCCTTTTGCATAGAAATAGATCTGTTTCTCCTGGAAGTGGATGGCATAAAACTCATCTAAAGCAGTGGAACCCATCTATTTCTAGCCAAACTACCCAAAACGGACACCTAAGGATACTGTGGATGAACACAATAAAGTCCGCCAGCTGGGTCTATGCGATTTATCCCAATTCTTATAGGTGCCCCCTTCAACCCATCCTAAGTCTTTGAAAGCCCACAAAACCGAGCAGGTTACTGCGTCCCCCGGTCTGAGGCGGCAAATTTATGCGCCGGACAACATTTCGCAGCTTTCGCTCCTTGACGGGGCAGATTGGGGGTAATATATATATATATATTATTGAACAATAGGGGGCCCCCTATTTTCAGGAGAATTGGACATCTGATTCTGAATGTCTTTGCAGGTAAGCTCAAGACCAACAAGCCATTTGTCATTAAACACCAGCTTTTGTGGTTGAAATTGTGGAACCCTCGTCACCCCCAAGACAATCACGGACTATCAGTCATTCGCGAGTTGCTCGCTTTTCAATCGCCTCCTGGCTTCTGGTAAAATGGCCATCCATGTCCTGCGCATTTGCCTACACAGCCAGTTCTGGATCAACGAGAAAGCAAACAGCCAGGAGGTCTTGCACACCCCCTTGAAAAAAACAACAACAATAAGAGTTGCTTGGTGTACTTGGTATTTGCCTTGACACACCATCTGCTTTGAGGGATTTCTGTGGAAAGCTAGTGTGTCGCTCTGTCCTTCCAAAGTAACAGTAGACTTCTGGTAAGTACGGTAACCTTAAGACCGAACCTTTGCTCTGGGGGGAGTTTCCACATTATTTTCAGCGATCCTTCTTTCGGGAAACCAGCAAAAACCCAGGTTGGAAACAGCGATTGGTTTTTGAAAAGAACGATGGTTCTGACGTTGGCCATTGGAGCAACCATCTCACATCCAGAAGGTGCCGAACCAGAAATCGGGTGCCCCAAAACCTGATACCCAACTTTCAACTTTGGGGTACGCCAAAACTAATTCATCCTTCTGTCTTTTGGGGCAAACTCTCTTTTTGGGATTTGAACCCCCAAACCGCGTTTTCTTTCCTCTTGAACCCCGCCTTAAAAACGGGGCGCCAACTCCAAAGACAAAAAGATAGGGCTCGCAGATATGGCCATGGGTCAAAAGCCAAATCGTACCCCCAGTGAACATCCCAATTCAATTCCACCAAAAAACTGTTCTAAAATGGGGAGGGGAAAAAAATCGCCGAACACCAACCAAAATGGGATCAACCACAAGGGTTTTGACCGCCACAGCCATATGATTATTTTTTGCGCACCAGAGACGCATGGCACGAGCCCATCGACCCCAGCCTGCAGGAGGCCCTCGAGCCCGGCCAGGGCGGCCTCGCGAGTTCACGAGATCGAGCTGTGGGCGGTTTGGGGGAAGTGCCACCCCCAAAGGACCGATTCCCTTTTTTCTGTAAAAGAAAAACGGTACAAAGGCAGAAATCAGGAGTTTGTTTGGGGGGTGTTCTGCCGAAATGACGCATAAAAAAGGGGTTCCTATGGCAGAAATAAGGAGTTTTCTGGTGAAAGTCCAGGTGGTTAGTGGCAACACCAATTACTTGCGATCGGTGCGATTGGCGATCGGACGGCGATCGGAATGAGAATGAACTGGAATGGTCGGCCATTCAGAAACCCTTGCTTCGGTCGTCAACTAAATCATCCCAGGGAAGCCTTAGCTTGTGATCGGTGCGCGAGATGCAGAGAAGGAGAAATGGAATGACAAAGAAAAACCACCCAACTGCTGTTGTTTCCTTTATTCAGGAATCCTTGGGTTCATTTTCACATTTTCTGCTGAGCACCAGCATGATTACAGGCAACCCTGTAACGGGCAACCCCCCCAAAAGCCTCAAAGGTGTTTCTATTCACCCTTCACCCGCATTCCTTTGGGATAGTTGGCCTGAATGTTCATGGTCGGAACCCCGAGATCCAAAAATGGCACCCCTCATCAAGTCCACCCAAGGATTCCCAATTCAAATTCGTACCAATCTCCACCCTCCCATCAACCAACATGGAAGTACACAGACCCCTGTACAAAGGTGACTTTCCTCTTGGAAAGGGCTTTGCGCGCTTCCATGTTAGTTGGTGGGAGGGTAAATCAAACCTTGTCAGAACGTGTCGGCCAGGGTCCCTGATTCCAGATCTTGCTCCCTAGGTCCTCCAGTAGAGAGGTTAGAATAAGTTGGTACCCTTTCTTCTGTAGTCTATTTTAGTAGGGCAACCCTCCCAACCAGAAAAGAAACGGTAAAAGCGCACTACTGGGGGACCTAGCTCCCATACAGATCGGAAGGAACCCACACACACACACACACACACAAAAAAAAAAAACAAAACGTAGGATCGGAAGCTCCCTTTGCGGGGACCAGCTCCATCTGAAAAAATCGTGTAACGGTTGAACCCCAAAATGTCTATTCAGACCCTTTCGGGGTGGTAAAACTTCCTTTTTGGGGTTAGGGTATGTGGGACATGACCGCAAGGTAGTCGATGCCACCGGGTCACGCTTGGATTTGACGAGTCTTACGCCAGAACAACAGGCAAAGCCCTTTGACGATTCGCTTGAATTGATTGAACCACTGGATGACGACTACCTGCGTTTTGTGGTGTTATTTCGCTGGCAACTCATGAGCTCGACGTCTTTGATCTGTGTTTGGGTTGTTTGTTGCACCGTTTTTTTCTTGTTTGGCCCCCTTTTCTGTTGATTTCAGCAACCTTGCCCTGCCGCCACTGGGGCGGTACTATTTGTTGGTTTTGTCTGAATTGTACATTGTGCACCGTCGTTATCGACAGTGGCTACCAAAAGTGGAAAATCAAAAGGTCAACAGGTCGGCTTTGGACAACTGAGCAATATAGAGAAGTTTTGAGTTCGTCTGCATGGTGCCAGGGTATCGCGTCGTATGTCAGCAACGGCGCAAGCGGCAGAACGCGACACGTTTTTCCGCCCGAGACCATGTCGCAACCATGGGTTTCTTTGGATCGGGTGCTTTCGTGGGCATAGTTGTTGTTTCCCGCAAATCTCTGAGCCGACCGTGCCTGCTGGTCATAGAGTTCAAATGCCCAACAAAAACAGCTGAAGTTGTTTCTCAGGAAAAAAGGGATTAAAAAGGCTGCCCTGCGGAATTTCTCGGTGACCAAACCCGGAGCACTTCGGCTCTCAACATGATTGGCCCTTATTTGGTATCCCCTTTTGGTACGACGACCCAAGGCCGCACCGTCCAAAGCGAAAAGCGCTCGCTCGCTCGCCGCCTTGCGGGTACTTCTGTCCTCCTCGGAGAGGCCGGAGAGATCGTCCAGCGCCATCATGTCCTCCATGCCATCCACTTGGGCGGGGCCTCTGGGTACCTGTTTTTTCCTTGTTTGTTCCCTCTTGTTTTCCCTTTTTAACAATTTGTTTCCTTGTTTTTCTATTATTATTTTTTGAACTTATGCATGTGGCATGCATTTCCCCTGGTATCAGCTTGTTTGGGACATCCACTACCCCCCCTAGTGTCTATAGTGCTTACTTTTCCCCAATATATGTTCTTCGGGGTAGTGGTTGCGAGAAGTGGACACCCTCTAACAATGGTTCAAATATCAGGACGAGGACGCTCACTTTAACTTGGCAACCCTCTGGCTGCTATTGGATACCCAACAAGAAACTGCCTCACAAAAGTGGCCCAGATTTACCCTTTTCACCATCGCCTCCTCCAAAATGAAACCACGCTTGGGCCGGTTTTCCATGTTACCCCCCTTGCGCGCTTAAACTCGGAACCCCGAGTGAAGTCGCTTCAAGCGCCCCACTTGGTGGGACATCCCCCTGATTCATGTCACCCCCTTCTCCAACTCGCACCCGGAGGAGCACGCCGCGTAGCCATGCTTCGCCCCACTTGGAGCGAGGCTCTGACCAGCCCCCCCCAAAGGCGCCTCCAGCAGATCTTCCCCGAAGTTCCGAGCCTTCTTCCGGGCCTGGCGCCGGGGAGGGTCTTTAAAACGTGTCGGAGGGTTTTAGGAAGTCAGGCGGGCCGCCATTGAAAACACTGGTTGGGTTCATAAAATATATTTAACAATAATACTAATATATATATATATATGTATACATGTACATATTCATTGCCCCAGGGCCCACCTTTTTACTAGTTCTACTTGGAAAGTCGCGTCTGAAGCACTGTAACAAACAACAATGTGTGTGTGTGTGTGTGGGTGCGTGCGTGCGTGCGTGCGTGCGTGCGTGCGTGCGTGCGTGCGTGCGTGCGTGCGTGCGTGCGTGCGTGCGTGCGTGCGTGCGTGCGTGCGTGCGTGCGTGCGTGCGTGCGTGCGTGCGTGCGTGCGTGCGTGCGTGCGTGCGTGCGTGCGTGCGTGCGTGCGTGCGTGCGTGCGTGCGTGCGTGCGTGCGTGCGTGCGTGCGTGCGTGCGTGCGTGCGTGCGTGCGTGCGTGCGTGCGTGCGTGCGTGCGTGCGTGCGTGCGTGCGTGTGTGTGTGTGTGTGTGTG